AACTAGTTAGATAAAACGAGTAAAATAAGACAAATACTGGCCAATAAAAAGATGACATCGTTTCTGCATGGTTCACTTTATAATACCCAATGCAGTTTGTTACCAACCACACACATTTTGCCAACAGGTTCTTGCACTGTTCTGTATGGTCAAATCACCCAGGCCATAGGTGTCAATACAATTATCTACACTACTTTGGGGTCAGTAAGGACAGTGCATGTACTGCAACAATAGGTAATAGCTTTAATTAGCAGTTACTGAAATAAAATATCCAAAATGCATGGAATAATACATGTACTACAATTCAAATGTGCTGATCATCATAAATTCAGATCATATCATATCTTTATTAATAATGAGATCATTAGCCAGGTAAAAACAAATCAAATATGCTAAGCAACCAAATAATAATGTTATGATAGTATTAAATAAAACTAGAAATGTGTTTGTGGACAAACACAAGCTGTTTCGTATATTTGAAATACTCTGTGCACGTGATGAACACTTGATGAAGTCACTTCGAATGTCATCTGCCAAGTGAAAAGTCAATCAGACATATAGTGCCAAAGTATGATTTGAAGAAAAACGTGTACAAACCCTATGGGGAAAAATGCATCTTTAATGTGAAGTAACCTGACACCTGATGATGTCATGATCACGAATTTCTTCTAGGACCATCTGTGGGTGGTAGTCTAAGTGTGTACCAAGTCTGACGTCGATCGGATTTACAAAAGTGCCAAAGTGGAGTGTTTTATAACGTGTACAAAACCTATGGGGAAAATGCATCTTTAATATGACGTAACCCAACACCAGATGACGTCACGATTACAAATTTCTTCTAGGACCATCTGTGGGTGGTGGTCTAAGTATGTATCAAGTCTAAGGTCGATCGGATTTACGAAGAGGCCAAAGTGGAGTGTTTTAAAACGTGTACAAAACATATGGGGAAAAATTCATCTTTAATGTGACGTAACCCGACACCTGATGACGTCACGGTCACGAATTTCTTCTAGGACCATCTGTGGGTGGTAGTCTAAGTATGTATCAAGTCTGAAATCAATCGGATTTGAAAAAGTGGCAAAGTGGACTGGTGGAAGAAACGTGTGTTAAACCTATGGAGAAAAAGTCTGAAAAAGGAGAAAAAAAAAAAGAAACTAGAAATGTGTTTGTGGACAAACACAAGCTGTTTCGGATATTTGAAATACTCTGTGCACGTGATGAACACTTGATGAAGTCACTTCGAATGTCATCTGCCAAGTGAAAAGTCAATCAGACATATAGTGCCAAAGTATGATTTGAAGAAAAACGTGTACAAACCCTATGGGGAAAAATGCATCTTAAATGTGAAGTAACCTTACACCTGATGATGTCACGATCACGAATTTCTTCTAGGACCATCTGTAGGTGGTAGTCTAAGTGTGTACCAAGTCTAACGTCGATCAGATTTACGAAAGTGCAAAAGTAGAATGTTTTAAAACGTGTACAAACCCTATGGGGAAAAATACATCTTTAATGTGACGTAATCCAACACCTGATGACGTCACGATCACAAATTTCTTCTAGGACCATCTGTGGGTAGTGGTCTAAGTATGTATCAAGTCTGAGGTCGATCGGATTTACGAAGAGGCCAAAGTGGAGTGTTTTAAAACGTGTACAAAACATATGGGGAAAAATGCATCTTTAATGTGACGTAACCCGACACCTGATGACGTCACGGTCACGAATTTCTTCTAGGACCATCTGTGGGTGGTGGTCTGAGTATGTATCAAGTCTGAAATCAATCGGATTTGAAAAAGTGGCAAAGTGGACTGGTGGAAGAAACGTGTGTTAAACCTATGGAGAAAAAGTCTGAAAAAGGAGAAAAAAAAAAAAAAAAAAAAAGAAAAAAAAAAATCTTAACGAAAACAATAGCTGTTTCGGTGAGTCACCGAAACAGCTAAAAAAAAGAAAAAAAAAAAATCTTAACGAAAACAAGAGCTGTTTCGGTGTGTCACCGAAACAGCTAATGATTAAAACAATTTCACAACTTTATCGAATCAGTTTTACACAAGAAATGTTACACAATGATTAAGTACATGGTCAGTGATAGAAGACATTATTCTGACAACACAGCAAACGCTGAAGAAACTGACCATCCCCTTATAAAATCCCAACACTAACTTAACTTCATGGGGGAATGGATACTTCAAAGCCGGTCGTGAACTCCCATTGCAATGTTGCTTGTGCGGTGTGATCCAGTAAACTCCAGCCCTTCAAGGGCATTGAGGAATGACAGTGAGTTTTTTCTCACTGTCATGGAAACTAGACGTCCTTTCATGACAAATAATAATCATTTGGCGACTGCAGATATACAAGTTGATCTGCAGTATAGCAACTTCAGGAATCTATGAAGCTATTGTTAATGTATTCCAAGTTTGATCCAACAATTGTTAAGATCTTCTGAGTAATTATGTAACTTTTCACTCCATGATCTTGTATTCTCACTTATAACAAAACATTTAAGATTTTAAACCTAAAATCAAGCATTTTCAGTTAATTTTTCAAAATGAGTTAATAATGTATGAATGTTAAATAATGTATTGCAGAATATTTTGTCCTAATATTTTTCTACATTACTGTACAGCACACATTTAAACTTCTACTCAAACCATAACAAATAAATATATTCCCGCTATAATAAATTGATAAAGCATAATCATATACAAAGCTCCTACAAGTCCAAATATTCATCACTAACAAATAAATGTTTTAAAAATGGTTATGTTAAACCATGATAACACTGTCCAAAGAATATTGCAATTTGCAGAAACAATCCACAGTTATTAACTAGTATTGACCCTGTTAAGCGTGGAAGCTGTATAGGAAAATATGTTAGTGCTTGCAGGGGGCAATGCTTAGTAACATAAGACTACAAAATACACAGTCCACCTTAAGAGTTGCTTAGAAATGATTATTACTATTTATATCACTGCTTACAATCTACTTGCAAGACAAAACTATGAGCAGCAGGGGTTAAGAAATGCAGATATTTACAAATATTAATTGTCCTTAAAAAGAAAAGTAATTGATTAAACCTTCTTTAATTAATTAAAACACTGATATCTGTCTAATATGCTGTGGTTTGTACAGTATAGGTGATTTGTAGTTAGCCCAAAAAAAGTGTGTTGCCCTCACCCGACCAACTCCAAAATCTGGAAATCTCGGGCTTTTTTTTCTTCCCCGCTTGAAAAAAAGTAATAAACTTTAACCTTGCCGTTATTCTTTCTTTGTAATGCCATAATTTGCATTTCATTACGAAACGTGCATACCTCAATGGTAGTACAGCTCAAAATGACCGTATTTTGAACGTGTAACTGAGGCCGAGGGAATGTTGTGTTATGTAATGCATACATCGTATACATACATTCACTATACATTGTATCGCATGTATGTTAACGTACACAGTATAGTTGGTGCGTGCAGTACATAAGCCTAAACGTTTCGTGTATGTTGGTAGAAGGGAACTGGTAACCAAATGGACTTCTCAACAAAATATTAGTCAAAATTACCACGTAAGATTCAAGAACATAGAACATGTTGACTGGAAAATTAAACAAATTTTCTTTATTCTGAAGAAATAAAACAATTGAAATACGGTTCATTGGCTACCCACTATTCACTTGGTACACCAAGTCCCACAGCACTCTGTGCCACTTGTGAGCATGTGCAGTCGCGATAGCCAAGATGGACAGCTATGCAGTGTCCATGATTGCAATGTTAGGAACAAAACAACTTTTCAATTGCTTCACAGATATATATATATCTTTAAATGCCGAATTATTCGCGAAGTACAACACAAGGCACCCAGGGGTTGTCTTGTCGGATGCTTTGGTTTCACTATCGCATCATGGGCCAGTACAGACTGTCTTACCAACTGAACCCAGTAGTAACTTCTTCAATTTGTCAATTAGAAGAAAGGGAAGGCCTAAATGTGTACTATGTATACCCCCCCCCCCAAAAAAAAAACCCAAACAAACAAACAAACAAACAAACAAATAAACAAACAAAAATGCCTGATTGACCGTCCGACCCTCCTGATATTTTTCATTTGAGGGCAACACAATAATTTGTTTGGGGGGCCTAATCTAGAAAATTAAGCCAAGTTATTCCAGCGATTGAATTAAGTACATGCAAGATGTTTGTGAATGTTTGGAGGAAAAAAGTGCAAGACATCCAAAGACCAATGTTGCAGACGTTCTGAATGACTCCAGAGTTTCTGAAGTCTAGCTGTATCTCTGGTCAAGGGAAACTGAATTCATATTATTTGTCTGTACGACACCAAAGTCTAGTTGGTTAACTAGAGGCAACAAGTCAGGTCATCTTTCAGCATAATCAATACGACAGCCAAAGCATTGAACAAGGTAAGGATACATTCACTATTTTATTACATAAGAACACTCTAACTTGCGAGCAGGCTAACTAAGTGTGCAATTTTTCATTTTTTTTTAGTACAACCAAAAAAAAAGAACTCTGAAAATAGATCCTTTGCCCCTTCCCCCCCCCCCCCTCCCCCCGGGTTTTTTTTTTGGGGGGGGGGGTGGCAGCGGGTAATTTTAAATCATTAACAATGAATGGCAACAGGTCTCCTCATGCGTAACCCAGTGGATTAAAACCACACACCACAAAGATGGCTGCAATGCAAAGGATCTTTAACCCTAACTCCCTAGGCCTTTTTGCTAGAATGTAGCCTCAATCCTGCAAAATCCTCCAATTGGCCTCATGGAAAAATAGCATATAGCCTCAATCCTGCGAATTCCTTCATTATTTCTTGAATATGGTCTGTGGAGGGGTGACCACTGCCTGAATCCTGCAAAATCCTCCCGCTATGACTATCAATATGTTGAGGCTTGGCCGGCAGTGACATCCTGGAGCAGTACGGAGGATTTCAAGCATAATCCAGGCCTATATTTATGCATGGCTGAGCAAAAACAACACAAGGTCAGGCCCAAGACCTTGACAAAGTGCATCCTACGAAATCAGTAACGCACTTTTGCTATGTTACCTCAATCCTCCAAATCTCTCCACTTTGGCAAAGAGGATTTTTGAAGGATTCAGGGCGGTTAGGGATAATGAGGCATGTTGTTGCATATGAGATTGGAATCTACGTAACATACATCTTCTAAAGTCTACCTTTTGAAGTGCAATTTCAGGTCTAGTGAAGGTTTGCGGTAACACCATGTAGAAATCTCTTTTGGGAAGATGTGTGGTTGTGAAGATGGTGGCCTCATTGTCAGTGTAGCTGGTAACTATTGCATGGGTCAGCAATAGCATGGTATGGAGGCTCCTACTGTTATCCTCACCTAAGTTACATCAAATCCTTGTAGACAAAAGGCAAACATGTGGCAGCATACCTACAACCAATGAAACACAACAAGCAACAAAAGAGATGAACAAAGCTGACTTCAGCCAACCTAACCCACTAATCCACTACCACAACTCCCCAAGAGACACAATACAAAAACAAGTTGATAGCCGTGCTATCAGTGCTATCAACTATCAGAAAATGGTCTGTAAATTACCAAGGCCACATTTCATAGCCCTCCAAAAAATGAGCAAATTTGCTGAAACATTCACCAGCAGTTGCTCATTTAAGCACATACATTGCCGTCTGTTATCTTCAAATATCATCTACTCCAACAACATTTGTTTGTGTGAAAAGTGAAGAAAATGGCAGATAAACCCTAAGTGACAGTGACTTTCTTTTTTCACACTTTTGTGGATATACAGCATAATTGATTTGAATCTTATAACTGTGGTTGCTCTCATTTGACTAGACTGCAGACTTAGCATAAGGGTGAGGCCATAGGGCTATTTTTTGCATGCTGATCACTTGAAACAAACACACCTCCTTAATGGTTAAAATGAAATGGAAAATCTGCAAGGATCATCCACCTTGTTAGCAAAAAAAAAGGTTTGTAAGTGGCACTATGAAATTAGGCCAAGGTTTCTGAAGTATGCTAGCCTTGTAAGCCTTTGATAGTGGATAGTCTAAGCTTTTTTTCCCCCACACTTGTGTTACTTTTTCAAACCTATGTTGTCATGAACATTGAAATTGTCCTTGGTCTTATAAATCACCAACTTGTCCATCTATCCAGTCTAAGCACATTTTGGATCCATTCGAAATAATTCATGTGAGATTTTAATAGAAAAAAATCCAATAAGAAACTTACACACAATATGACATATAGGTTTTTTGAAAACTTATTTATATTATAAGCTTTCCAATCTAGTGCATCTGAAGTCTCTTCAAAAGTGCTGTTTATTAAATCTCACACGTGTTTTTTTGCTAATTTCAAAGAATAATTTCTTCTTTTTTCAATACCTAGTTCCATTTCTTTTTTTCAAAATGAATAACAAAAGAGCAAGTCTTCTGCATAATTTCTCCATGTCAACTCACCGGTTTACAAACATACTGAGATGGTGTCAAAAAAGCAGTGACCGTTTCTTGAGTTCCACTTGGCGCCATCTTGGTAGCATAAAGTAATCTTCATAAGGCATCTGAAATGCTCGGAAAAAGTCCTCAGCAGAGAGATGAAGCTGCATGGAGAAAGACATAGCAGTGTTTGTGAATGTCTGGGTATATATGACTGTGATTTATCTTGAAACCTGATTAAAGACAAACATTCAAGAAACAGAACTTTTTGACTTTTCCCTTTTCTGATTAATTGAAGTAGACTCGAAAACATCACCTGAAATGTTTTTTAAATACAGTTTTGTCCATACCCACCATTATGGCAACACAATGAAATATCATGCTTTGTTTATATCACACCAATGAGAAAAAGAATTGAGGGAAATGAATAACATGTATACAATGCACGGCACTGTATCAGTGGTGGGGGGGGGGGAAGTGAATCCGCCCTTAGTGCCCCCTTGGTGCCCCCCCCCCCCCCCAACACCCCAACCGAAAAAATCCTTGCTACCCCACTGCATTGCACTTATTAGGTAAATATGGCAGGGCTAGACAATTGGGCTTAACCCTTTGTGCTTGCTCCCTACGGTACTGATATTTTTGAGGGCACATATCTGATAATTTTGCGCATTGCCTTGCATGACAGCCATTTCAGATTGATCCAGAGTGACATTAGGCCTACAAATGAATATTGTCGTGAGCCTGATAAAAAAAAAAACTACTAAAACATTAATAAATGAAATAAATTGATGAGCAGCCACAAAATAAGTACAAACTGTTCTGTACACGAACTAAACACAAAAGGTTTCCACCATTTGGAAATTAAAAACAAACATTCCTGCATATAACGAATACATTTTCAAAAAGCTGAGAAGCAACTATAACAAAACGTGTGCATTTAATAAAGAAAACTTGAACCACTTTAACCTGGACTCAAAGCTCCATGCAGTGCATCAGATGGGTCAAATGTGTCCCTCAGATGTATAAAAAAACACTGTCTTAAATTGCACATTGATTGGGACCAGCTTACCTCCAGATTATTTCTGTCCACATCCTTAGGTAACCTGTAGTTAGTGGTTACTAATGTGCCCAGGGGATACATCTGAAATGGAATCAATCAATACATCATTCAACACCATTCTACATCCAATGGTATCACATTCTAGTCATGTTAATGCTACTAAATTAACCGAGGGCACGCATTCAGTTCCTACTTTTGTATACATGTAACTTGAATACATGTAACTTGAATAAACATCACAGCTTTCAATTTTTTGAAAAGAGGCTTGAACCTAGATTTTAAAACCTACTGCAGAAGTTAGGAATTTTGATGGAGGTTAACAGTTTCTTTTTTAAGCTTGCATTCTAGAAAATACATAATTGAACTTACAAACGTATTTTGGGGGTTTTTTTGGAAGGGGAAGGATGTAAGATTTCATAAAGATTTCATATATGTGCACATTTCTAGATTTATATATTTTTTGGGAATTAACCTAGGAAAGCCAACTCAAATGGGTGCTCTCAATTAACCCCCCCAAAAATAAAAATCTGAAAATGATTTTAAAAAGACTGACATATGATTCAACAGGATCAAAAGCTTGCGCTACATCATTAGCCAGTACTTTCACACAAGTGGAAATAAGCACCAATCCTCATGCTAGGACTAGGCAGTGAATATGTGACCTAACTTTCTTTGTTATTACTTAGTGCTTACATCAAGTTACAGGAAGAATAACAGGGTATTTTCCATGTTGTCTAATAAACAGGTAAAAACAAAAACAAGCTTGACATGCATTCATGTACACAATGCAACAAAACTGGATCCATGGGTTCTGTGGACAATGCACTCCACGTATAAACAATAGTTAATGCTTGTTGGCAACCACTTTGTAAGATCTCTGTGTGCGGGACACACACACATGTACCGGTATGGGTGAGGCAGTTACAATTACTTCGTATCCTAATGTGCACTACCTGGCAGCATCTTTGTGTGAGCAAAAAAACACACAGCTGTAATGTGTTCAAGAAACCAAACTACTCTCTCTTTGTGACTGTTGAGGGAGTAATTAGTTGTGCACAAAGTCCATATCCCTTGCCGTTTATAGTGTACAAATACCCAAAATGAGTTGACTAAGGAAAGAATCACCACCATAGGGGCTGTACACCAATGCTTAGGAGTGTTCTTCTCACTGATATATAGTGCATATCTGGTTTGACTTTTACATACATGTGCATATTGCAAACCAGTGTGTGTACATGTACTTTCCTTTAGCTGCCACTGGTAGTCCACACAAGACACCTACATGTACATGTACCAGCATCAGAGCCCATAGGGGTGCAGACCAGTAAATACGCCTGAAATTGCCTATACCGGCTCAATCAGGATTTGCATGCCCTCAAATTCTCTGGTATTAGAACATTTTGAGGGCTGTGAACTTGAGGATTTATATTACAGAAGGGTGGAAGCCATGCAGAGGACTGCGAGCTCGTATTTCTGTGAATGTGGATGAAATTAGGCCCTAAAATGGTGCTATTTTGCAATGGATCATATGGGCATCCGTTTTCAAAATGGCAATGAGATCAGGCCTGCTTTTCGGTTTGAACATCTTTGGATGGAATTTTCTCCCCAAAAGTCTTCGATAACCCCAAAAAAATTGAACGGAAAATGAAAAATGATTAAATATGCTATAATTTGATGTGTGCCTCAAATACCTTGGAGAGTTGTGAGTATTTGTAATAATTTTGGGAAGTGCACGTAATTATCACTGAGGTCTATGGAAGTCTATTTACTGGTCTGCATCCATAGCAAACACATAATGCAATACATAATGCTGCAGAGTTGCAGCACCCATGTCAACGTGCATCATATCATGCACTTCATCATGCTGATGCTGCATGCTCAGAGAAGGGCACACACAATAATACAGCTTACCACAGCTTATATAACATTCAAGTTCTTTCAATGTTTGACAATATGTGTTTACGATCCAAAAGTGCATGAGTGATGCACCACTGTTTTCCCATCAACAGATGAAACCAAAAGAATCAGAAATGAAGATTATTGACTATCAATTATCAACTTTTAAGTATTTTTTTTATGAATGAAAGTTTTGACAGAAATAATGCTGTGATAGACATAGATCGTTATTTTTTTTCAAAGAAAGAAATCAAACCGGCCAATTTCATTTTAACAGCCCAATTAAATTCTTCATTGTATTGAGAAAAAAAATCGAAAACTCGTTTTTGCATCATAACAGCAAATGAACAAAACTGAAGATAAGCACAAAAACCAGCCAAGTTATCCAAGTATTAGGTGTAACAGCAATTCCTTAGACCCCCTTTACACAGGGCTGCAACCTTTGGGCCTAGCTCCCTTGTACGACCATAAAACTGGCCAGGTCAACGGAGGCTCAAAGGAGGCCAAATGGTTGCCTAGGTCGTTCGAAGGTGGTACACAGGATGTTCAGACATCACCATGGACACCAAGGTCGCCGTAAATTTCGCCGTAAACAGTCGCACAAAAGGTCGCCGAGGAGGTTGGTTGCTCAAAGGTGGCTCAAATGAGGCAGAAGGGAGGCACAAGCATTGCCGTGGTTGCAGAATACATGCACAATGGACGGCAAATGGTCGCCACGTAATAGATCCGTTCTGTTGCAAATTTTACCGTCAATCTGGGCGATGCTTCTGCCTCCCTTGTGCCTCCCTTGTGCCTCCTTTGGCCGACCAATAGCGTGCAATAAACGATGACTGTGGCGACCGCTGTGCCTCCATTCGGCAACCACGGCAACCTTTGAGCCACCATGGCCCTAGGTTGCACAGGGGAAATACAGGGGAGGCAGGCAAGTGGCTCAGTGGATGCACAGGTCGCTCGTAGCTGGATATAAAAATGCCCGAAAACTGCAGTTTTGGTGTTTAAGGGAGGCACAAGGATAGCTGGAGCAGTTACATAGAAATAGGATTTTCTGGGTTTAGGCGACCATTGAGTGTCCTGGCCATTTTTTGGTCGCTCATAGGTGGAACAAAGGTAGCAGCCCTGTGTAAAGGGGGCCTTAGGAACTTGGGATTTAAAGGGTACACTTTCAGACAAGAACTGAAATTTGTAAAAGCGACAATGTCGCGTAGTTTTATAAATACGCACACTCAATGAGTGTGTTTACATATTACAGGACTAAGCTGTGCATCTCATCATTTGTGTGTACAATGTATTTATAAAAATGCGCAAAATTGGCCTGTATGTTACAGAGCAAGATGTTTAAACTGTTTGCATTTGCATGGCAAAGCATAAATAACTCCCTTGATGCCTTCTTTTCTAATGGACTGCTTTGGATTTGGCCATAAGCCCCTCGCAAGTCATGAATGGGCAACAACGTGCATCTCCTTAGCACCATACGGTATGTTCCAGGTGTGTTAGTCTATGTCCGGCTTTTCTTAGACATTTGGTAATATGCAGTCACAGCTGTTATTGCTCAGACATTATGGGACAGGGCTTAACAGATCAACACTTGTTTTCTCTTAAAAGTTTGAAAATTAAATGGACGGTAATGGGAATACAACTTCAACAAGATTCTGGTGGCTTATCTAGCCATCGAATGATGACTGTGCAATCATGATGACAAACTGTCCATTAACCCTAACGTCATAAGGGCTGCTCTTTGGGGGTCAAGGACCAAATACTACAGAATACTACATGTGTTGTGCACACTTGTATGGGAAGAAATGCATACTACAGGTTACTACTCAGTAGTATTTTGTAGCCTTAGGTGAGGTTAGGGTTAAAGACACCACATCACATTACAAAATAGTCCAAGTCACAAGTTTGTTAACCTGTCCCTATACTTGGCCAATATGGTTGCATTTGCAGTCAGAAATGCATCCTTTTTTTTGACGAGTAAACCAGTGAGTGCATGCAATCAGTGAACAGAGGAGAAGTTAGTGCCCTGAATAGTGCAGTTTAATGAGTGGCAGTGAGCTAGGCTATTTTCTTTGCATGCTGATATGTTGTTACTACACCACATGCTACTCTACCTCTCTCATTGGTTTCTGTGATCAGCCATTGATTAGTAAATAGAAAGAATAAAAGACTCGTTTCATGACATGTACATTGCAATCAAAATGATCCACCAATAATGGTTGGAAAGACAGCCAATCAAACCAATGCAATACAAGTATTAATATGGTTGACTAAATAGCTCATGATGACCATTTGTTTCGAACTTGTATTATTATCAGGGAAGTATACAAGTACAACTTGATTTTAGGGGGCGGGGGTAGTACAAATTTCAGTCGACTTGACTATCTAATGGCGAAAACTAATGATCAGTGAGAGACTAGGACTGGTGTTCTCCCTATGTGAGCTTGTTTTATATGCAAATAACAGAGTATATTGGATCCTATTTTTTATGAGGAGTGACACTGATCTGAAGACTTGTGCTTGGCATGTGCAACTTGTGAGTAGCTGGTGATGAGTCTGCCCCTACTACCCACATGTTATCTGTCAGTCTAAGTAGCTCTTACTTGGAGTATGCCCTATGCAAACATTGGATGTACATTGCATATGGGTGCATTGGCTGTTAAGTTATGATTTCACATTCCAGCTTGAATCAAAAGACTGGGATTCATGATCATGGACTTTATTTGCTCATACAAAATGGTGAGGTTGTATGATAGGTTGTTATTACTGGAGTTGCTTTATCTGAGTGAAATAATTCAAGTTGCCAGCTAGGTGTTCTCATCAGAACTGGCTCTGTCAATATAAGTAACTTCTCACAATTCAAGCAATTGACAATACAGAAAAGCTGTCCCTGGTTGCACAAATCCTACTTTACCCCTTAACAACCCAACATCAACTCAGTACTGTTTCCATTTTGGGGGGACTATGAAGATTGATGTTTGTTATTGTGAATGTACTAGTACTACAACAAACGATAAGTCAAAAAGGCAGGATTTGAGGAAGTTAATTGACTGTGAAGTTGAGAAGTGGTCTCGTCTTGGTGGTGCACGTGTTAATACTCCAAATACACAACTGTTAAAGTGTGATTGAGCCTGACTAAATGTGTGTTGTGAGGAAGATTTTTATTGTTGGGAGAATTTGAATTTGAATAAAACTGTAGGGGCGTTAGAAGGTTCCTGCAATGTTTATGTTGCTCTGTATAATGCGCATGATTTCCAAGATTTAGTAATTAAAATTGTATGTGTCTCTTACAAATACAACTATATCCTTGCATATGGTCTCACATTATGACATACAACCATGGATGTTATGCCATAAGGCAGGTCACTTTTGCAGTCACTTTGGAATTTGAGATGACTTGATTGTCATCCAAAGAGGATTGTTTGTTGTTTGATGTACGGTACATTATGCCCAATGTGAAACATCAGCTTTTTGTTTAATATGTGTTTCTGTCTAAAATCATAAGATTGCCTTAGTAAGAGTTCAAACACACTAAGCAGCAACTTTAGCGAGTCACTTTTGAATTAGAGATGATGTCATTCAGTCTATTCATATCACTGTGCAATTAGAGAGAGCTTGACATCATTGGTGGGTTCTGCTGCTTAGGAGAAGGATGCACTCACCACAGGTATGTTGGACATAGATTTGCCTTTCTCTTTTGTGGCAGGCGTTATCTTTTCCTTTGAGTTTTTCATCTGTTCGCAAGCAATGCATGTCAGTGAAGAAGGAAATGTGGTTAGTAATCAAAATGAAAGAGCAGTCATGTTAGCGAGAAGGTGATAAAGACAGAGATGGCTCCTGATTGGAGGAATGATTCAATGCATGCCAAGCATCAGTACAGGCAATCAGAACTTTGATTCCTACTACAGGAATCAATGTAATTAATATGCAGATGGTTCATGTTGTGAGTTGATAAACAAAAGTTATGTACATTCAAACATACTTTTGCTTCCCACCAAACTGTCCTATACAAGAAATATTTTCAATGCTCGAGGGGATTTTTGTGTTTCATACCAGAGGTTAATATAACCAAAAACAGAAAATCTTAGGTGAAGATGGACCAATGATTAAAATAATTCAGACAACTCCATTGGAATTTTGGTTGGGACTTTAGACCTTGAAATATTTCAAAAACGTTATGTACGTTTATGTTATGGACCTTAAAACGATCAACATGCATCATCCCTATCCCATAATGCAGCATCCCTATCCCATAATGCATCATCCTGGTGCAGTAGGCAGGTATGATGATTCACTTACTTGAGCCCCTTTATGGATAGTTTTCCCTGCAATGCCTGCTCCTTTTACCTTTTGCTGAACGACACTTGGCAGAGACCGACCTCTTGTGATCCTCATCATGCGTAGTTCATCTTCCGACGATCCCATCCGTGAGAAGTCTACATCACTTGCGTAGCCATTAGGGCTCTGATATCCCCCACTGACGGGACTCAGATACCCAGGAGGACTCAGGTAGCCTCCTGGACTCTGGTAACCATCAGATAAACCTGTTGCCATGGTGATTAAATAAACATTGTTTTATTTTGGTATCAGTACAATGTATACCACTCTTGTTTTATTTTGGTATCAGTACAATGTACATGTACATGTATACCACTCTCTTAACCTACACTCGATATGGCCTATTTCCTTTCATGAGCATTACGAGTACATGAATGTGTACTGTTCATTCCTCACTTTCCATATGCACAGCTACATGTAAGGTACATCACTAACCAGTTTGTGCCGGATGAATTGTAATCACGCAAAGGTTTTGCGGCATTCAGAACGGTTGACGGATAAACACACAGGAAGCCAGGCCGCAAATATCTGTAAGCGACCCGCTCGCAGCGAGCGAGGCCGGAAATATGAGTGTGCTGCCCGAGGGTGATAGCTTCAACTCGCCTGGCTTGCGCCTCATTCCGTTCTTGTCAAAATAATCCCGGCTCAAACTGGTTAAGCTATCATAATTATGTCATAGGCTGTGTACAGGCAAACACACACATTTTGTACAATACGTACTCATCAGTGAAATGAATGGAAAATGCAATGACAGAGTTGGATGCTTTGTGTTGAAGTCAAAATTCCCATGATGCACAATATAAGTCTGTCTCGTACAGCTACATACTGGCTTTCAATTGTGATATTAAATGGGGAAAATACCCAACTACATGACAACAGTAATAAGAGAAAAAAAGATATATTTCTTACCGTCATTGAACCAACAGGGAGGGCCACTTCTTGAACTTGGTGGCAGTGAGCTAGCTTTTCTGTACGCTTCACTCTGAAACAACAGGCAGAGACAAAGCATGTAATACGGGTAGGCATTCCACGGCAGATACCTCAGATTTCTCTCTGTCCTTTTTTATATCAGTTGTGTGTCAGGAAGGCAGAAACAACTTTTTTAAAATGTAAATGAAATTTCATCCGCAGACGATTATTTTTGTAATGTTTGTAATGCACCCCTATGCCCTAAGCCCAAATACACCCCCTATGCCCTAAGCCCCATCAGTGGATTAAAAGCTAATGCAGGGACCATTGATATTCACCAGCACCACCCAGAGCATGCATGGCTGTGTCATCCAAAACTATGTGGGTAACATTTAGTGTACACGAAAATAAAATTCATCCAACTCCCTTAACATTTTATATTACAAGGGATTATATTTTTCTACTAAAAAAACCCAAACCATTACTTAAGATTCAAAGTGACACTAATGAGTTAGAAACATGAGGAACAGGAAAAAGCTTAATTTACCAAAAGCAAATTTTGCAATTTAGCAAAGACTGACTGCCTGTAAATGTTTTACAAATTAACAACAGACAAGTACATGCCATCCTAACGTCTTAAAGTTGGGATTAAAACTGAATGTCAAACAATTAATATGAGGGGGTCATTGAAGGGGGAAATGTGCAATTGTGTCCATCCTCCACAACTTAGAGGCCAAAAAGCTTTCTCCTAGACACATAGTTGATTGAACTGATATAAAACATAAATCCCACTATTGACAAGAAGTACTTCAGACGACTTTCATCTTCACATCTTATCTACCATTGCTCAGTATCCTCATGATATTCTTCTCTGTCAACATATTGTTAGTGATTACCGGAGGATTTTGCAGGATTGGGCAGTGGTCACCCCTCCAAGAACCACATTCAAGAAATAACGGAGAATTTTGCAGGATTGAGGCTCCATGCAATTTTTACATGGAGGCAGTTGGAGGATTTTGCAGGATTGAGGTTACATCCTAGCAAAAAATGCCTAGGGAGTTAGGGTTAAAGAAGTATTTCAATGCAGTTGTAGGACATTTCGGGGGACTTGTTGACAGAACTACATTGTACGGCCCCATCTTACCCCATCTGTCAATAGATCCTTTGCATTTTCAGTTGCAGCCATCTCTGAGGTGCATGCTTTTGTTACACAGGGATGAACAAAACTGATATTAAACTAATAAAAAACAACTTCAGAGATTGCTGCTGAATGAACGCAAAGGTCTATTTGAGAAAGATCCAACTGATAACAGAAAAGCAAGAAAACCATATGATATCACTATACATGTACTTACCAAACTCATATTGCGCATATTTGCTGGCAAAGTAGCACTCCTTTCTCCTCCAACTATTCGAAAACAGAAGACAATAATGTGTTATCCATGGTACCAAAATACAAGCATCGGTATTGGTATGCTTTTGTTGTGGACTTCAGTTAATAATGCTACAATTTGGTCCATTGTTATTGTATTTTATGAGATTGTATTGCCTAGGAACTTGCTGTTATCACCAAATGAAATAAACTGGGCAATTTGAAGGTGATCCTTGCAGAAGTTTAAAAGATAAAAAAGACATGTAAACAAACCCTTACAAAACCTGAATGCAATGATAAACTAGAGGACTATGCACTTAATAGGTATTTATACATGTGAGGTACATGTACACATTTTCCCTCTGGTCAACTGACTATATAGACCATTTGCATTCAACAGCCATCTTCAAAGTGTTTTTGTTACTTAAAGTCCATAACAATTAATGTGTAATGAGTCTACTCATGCGTATCCATGTAGAACCTAAGCACACATCAAAGATGACTGTAATATTGAAGTCTTTCATTTAATAATATCATTGATTCAGGGAATGGGACCCATGTACATGTATGTGTAAGTCTCTCAATTCCAATTAGTTTGTTATGCACAAATCCAATCAAAGGGAACATGCACAAGGAACACTCTCATACATGTATTAATGGAATATATTTCCAGTCAATTTAGAATAATAACTCTGCTTTGACCAGTCTAGTCAAAATGTCTCTGTCTTTAAGATCCCTGAATAAACTTGAATTACTAAATAACAAATCTTGGAGCAAACACACAATGCAAAATATAGGCATAAAATAGTCCAGTGAACTAATGAACACACTAGATGTACAAAGTGGACATCTTCACCCAGCTTTGCTCTGTAAGGTTATAGACCTACATCTACTTGAATCCAAAGAATGCATGATTATAAAGTGTATCAATTACAATGCAAGTATTACCCAATCATAGTTTTCACACAAACAATTAGTGAATAGCATGATTCACAAAGAATCACAACCAACTACTATACAGGTATTCAAAACAAATATGATGGAAGAGGCACATGAGGTACAGTGTATGAGCATTTACTTATTGATCACAAGAACTACCACACGGTGTACAGGGTATTTCAAAAACACAGGTAAATAACGAATGTAAACAAAATAACTGCAAAACCATGATGGTAGGATGTGTTATATGTGCTAATATGTGCTATCATGGTGTGTGCTCACTATGATGTCAACTAAAGCTAATCTCTGCTCAGGGATAAAGTGTTGTAGCATTCTGAACAATATTTTAAAAACATTGCCATAACAATCTGATTAAAGCCACACGTTATCACAGAGATGATAAGTTGTCTTGCAATTGTCGAGATTCATTGGTGCAAGTGATAATAAGAAGACCTTTGTTTTCCTCAATAGCAAAACTAGCCTCTTTGCACATAAGTAGCTCCCTCAGCGGTTATTAAGAGAAAGTTGGGAGGGACCACCAGGAGGGCTTCTTGAATGCATTGTTTATTGGGTTTCCCTGTCAAATTCCTAGATGTGTACGTGTCTTTATACTACGCTGGATTAGATCAACTCTACAAATTAAAGGCATATGGGATCATTTGCATTTATCCCAAAAGTGCACCTACCGAATAATAATCAAAAGGCTTTCGTGGATTAACAATAGTACTGGTACTAAACAAAAAGCTTATTGGGATTAAAGATCGTTGTGTCAAATTATTTCATCTGGCTTGCTGTAATTTAGAAGAAATCAAGAAATGTAGTCAGTTGATGGACTTTTGCAATAAAAGAGTTCTACGGACGAAACCGTGTTTCGTGATCAAAAGGTTGTGCATGGTTTTACACTATTTTCTCGAAAAGTGTAATATCCACTGAGCTGGAACTTCAACAGGTTAGGTTTTGAACGTTTTTCTTTGGATTTTGAGTGGTGTTATTGGAAACGAACAAAACACATGAAAAGCAAATCCTATTATGCCTTTAAGATAATAATACAGTAATACTATGCACAAAGTAGTCTGTCTGCAAATGGAATCACCATAAAGAGACAACAGAACACATGGAAAAGCACTGTGAATGGGCCACCTACATGTACATGTAGAAGAAGCTAGACTTGCCTGTCATTTTTCCTCATTCTTATCATGACAAACTGATCAGGCTACATCAAGCTGATGTCCATTTGTTTGGACCAAGCCCAAGGCTCCACTTCATCATTAAGTGTTTTTTCCTACTGAAGCAAGTTGATATGAATTCAAGAATTCCAGGCTTCCAAATGATGCTGCATGGTGCAGACAGAGATGAAGCCAAAGCCAAGGTTTCAGAAATGACAAAGACCCTGGTGAATAACGTGTCATGTTGCTTTGCCCTGGTTCTAAATCAGGACAATTTCATACTGACAAACTAACATATTCAAAAATACCATCTATAGTTATCATATTATCAACCCCTTTAAACAAAGTAACACAATACAGCAATGGAAAATTAGATATAACACACATTGAAAGGGCTTGATTTTATAGTGACCTTTCAGGCTTCAAGGTAACTCATATTGCAAAATTTGATACAACCCTTCAAACCCAAGCTGCATGTAAATGTGATAAAAACAGAAGCACGCAAAAAGGAAACTGATTAGTCTGTCATTTCCATAATACATCATGGGGAGCCGCCTTCAATGTTTTGTACAGTGTATGTGGAGGTAAATGATGACTTGTGTTAGTAACCTGGACTTATAACAAACCTCAGCTCTTTGCTGACAGATTTTGCTGACAGATTTAACTATAAAGATATAGACAAGGTTATTGAGATGCAATTATCAACTCCAATCCTGAATGCACATCAAAATGCAAACTCTGCGTTAGAGGTACCACGCTTAAACTTAAAGAACACTCCTGTGAAACCTGAACTGTTTTACCATACCCAAGGAAAAGGCAAATTTGATTTGATAAGCAGGACAGATACAATTAATTGAATACAGCATACCTCTCAAGTTATTCTGCTTGAAGCAAACAAATGTATTCTATCACAAGTCATTAGAATAGCCCAACCAAAGTCCGTACTGCAAATGATTTGCAAATAGAGATGCTTGTACATGTACTCTGATTCACAAAGCATTACAAACATGAGGAAAAGAAGCTTTCATCCTTGCCGCAACACAAACACATTCATTTTGCATGAATGATGATGATACATATATCTTCAATGATAACTTTCATGCCACAGCTGACTAGAGTAGTTCAAAAGGCACATGTCATATCAGGATGGTTGATGGTTGATGGTCCAGTGAACTGTCGGATACTTAAATATATTTAGTCAATTCAGCACTACTTCGTAAAAGATATAACCAAATAGATGAATGTCATACTCCATGGTCATACAGTTCCAACATGGACAACACCACAAGGAAGCACTGACATGACTGGCATTGCCCACTACCAAGATAACACAGTCAGCCATTAGTCAAGTCTAGCACATCAATGACAATGTACAGGATTGCCAAGTAAGATTCAAGACATCACAGAACTTAGCCCCCAAATATGTATAATACCTCTGTAGAAGCCTCTCTCAATTCACCGTTACTTTTTGGTAACACTGCCTACCGGTATATGTGCACTTACCTACAAAAAAGGAAGATGTCATTCCATGCAAATTAAAAGAAATATATTTTCAAGTTTTAGCACATGCAAAATATCTCCTGACATGCACTAATAAACAAAACGCTGAAATTCTTCATCACAAAAATCATTAAATATGATACTTAAGTTGCCAACTCCATTATGGTTTTTTTTCTATGTATTTTTGTTTGTTTGTTGTGTTTTGTTCCCCTAAAATTAAACACAGTTTTTGCAACTGAAAATTGATAAAATGATGAGGGGCTAAAAAATATGGCCTGTTTGACGTGGGATACATTGTTCTCAATAGAGTATGGAAGCAATATGTTCATATCTGGGGGCTGCTGGTCTAGACGCGTGAGCCAAAATTTACTTGAAAACTAGCTGTTCAAGTTTGGAACAGTACAAACATGGTACTTTGGGTTTAATGGACCGCAAAGCATGGTTAGATTATAATGGCAATTCTGTAGTCAGTCATGATGTGCCTGTTATCGTTAGTACTAATCTCATCCAGTTAGTCCCTCCAATGAATGCGTGCAGCAGCAACAATAATGTACTATGCACACGTAGTGTTTTGAAATCATGCCTTCATGAATGCAATGCACATAGCCCAATCACCTCTGAACAAGTCTGCAGGCGAATGTCTTCTTCGCTCTCGTAAGCGAAGTGGTGCTGTAGACACATAACATGGAACAGAGTGAAGGTGGAATAATATTCAGTCAGCTATTCAAACCTGGATGATTCTTCAAGGCACCACAATTCCTAGTCAATATCAGGCTAGCACTGGAATAATACAGTGCACTTCTATTATGACAATGCATGAGGCTGTATATGTTGCATGACTTGTAACTTTAGCAAATGCTATTCTGCTGCTCATTATCATTCACACATGCTGTCCATCCTGGATTCTCTTCAACAATAACCAACCAAGAAAGAAAATGAGCACAAGTTTGCCTAAGAATTGTCACTGCTGTCTATTACTGGACCGCGTTTCAGGTGACTTTATCTGACTTAAAGATTGCTAATAATCAGATTGAAGCAGCTTCTTGAAATGTTAATGAGCAATGAATCAAAATGAACATACTAAGGGGCCATTCAGAATTTTCAATGTTTTAAAATTTCGACTTTTTTTCCAAATTATTTTGACCCACCCACCCACCCCTATTTTCGATTGATAAAAAACTGAACATGTACATGTACATGCACTTGTGTACATATACTTAAACATGTACATGTATACCCATGTACATGTACATGTGTACCCATGTACATGTGTGTCTAGTTCAGTGACGGCGTGAAGTTGTTGGTCTTCCTCTTTTGCAGTGGTGGCCTTCAGTTTTCTTGTGTTTTACCAGCTGATATGCTGTTTGGAAAGACAGGTTGCAGTCTTGGAAGCCACAAAGATGACCGTGGTTTTGTCATTTTCTGGATTAGCCCCATAAATGTGGCCAATTTACTGGACTGCCTCCGTAAATAAAGGTTACACTGCCACCATGTGCAAAAACATGTCGAACTTTGTCAAATTTTGATTTTCACATTTAGGCTTAGTCAGAAAATGCTGCCTTTTTCAGGTGTCTATTTTTCGTGAAATTTCCAGATTCATTTGCACACGTTTGCGTATCAAAATTTCAACATGAAATTTTACAAAAATAGACATCTGAAAAAGGCAGCACTTTCGTCTAATTAGCCTATAAAGGGGGTGAGTATGCTTCTAAAGCATAAATGAACTACAAACTAAGCCTAAATGTGAAAATCAAAATTTAACAAAGTTCGACATGTTTTTGTATATGGTGGCAGTGTGGCCTTTATTTACGGAGGAAGTCCAGTAAATTGGCCACATTTATGGGGCTATTTCTGGATGAGGTGGATGACATGTGACATACGAGGTTGTGCCTGTCACCTGAGGTAGCTGAGTAAAACATTCCCTCGTACCCCCTGCCCTGTTTGCAGGGCGGGGGTACGAGCGAAAGAAGGTTTGGGCAGTCATCACATCACAGGCTGCGGTCCTCGTAGTCTTGGAGTCCAGTGGTTGAATAGTCCAGTTTTTATAGTGATTGGTAATCGACACCCGCGGCATAGTACACCTGGTACCCTGCTGCCTCTGCACGGCCTAACCGCTAGAAATGCCCGGCATCCAAGTCTACTGAAAAACCACCTCCCTCTCATGCCACAGTGGGTCTATATACACGTACATGACGTACAATGTACATGTTCAGTACATACAGGGGACCAAGTTGGAAAAGAAACACGCATCGCGATATCGGAACGCTTGCGCGTTGTTCAGGCAAGTCAAAAGATCTATCTTTCTTTGGTTTTTTTTATCCTTTTTCCATGGAAAGTGAATTTCGATTTTCAATTATTTAGCTTGACCCACCCACCCACAATTTGGAAAAAAGATCGAAATTTTAAAACACTGAAAATTCTGAATGGCCCCTAATTAAAATCTTTCAAATGGTAAATTTGTGATGGATTCAATGTGAACTTCTAATTAATACTTTTTGATACGACACATAAAAAAAATTGACATGAATATTTCCTGCAATACAAAGGTTATGAACCCACCTATCTATGACGAATTGATCACTAAGTCTTTAAAAAGGTATTTCAGCACAATTGCTATCAGATTTTGAAGAATAACATGACGCAGAGGCACGGGCAGTTAGATTGGCACAGTGGTGTTTTTTGGTTTTTTCAACAATCTCAATTCTTCAGTGTATTAGGTTTTAACCCATTCGGGTGCAGTATGCTGAATGGCTGATGGGTCATTCTATAAATTTGGGGTCCAAAGTGTGACATTTTTCCCGTCCCTGTTACCTTGGTACTTTGTCATTTGCCATTCAAGCATCATTAAGAATGACTTCAAATGATTGTTTATTTGTTGGGTAGGTAGTTTGCTATTCATAATCACTCTTGGAGGATGACTGCATTAAGGAGTGCATCAGAATTATACAATCATAGATGTCAGATGTAACAGGGACGGGAAAAAAAGTGGACCCCAAATTTATAGAATGACCCTGATCAGCCCTCATTTGATCACACAAGTTTTCTTGGCACCTTCAATGTTGAAAACCTTTCAGTCCAATACCTGGGGCTACTCAGAGGGTTTTTGAAACCCTGACGTAAGGCTGATTTATACCCAATGCGAAAGCCAACGTGTGATGTCACAATAAAGTGAATGTTTCGTGGTGACAAATTCACTTCACATTGGCATGAAGAATGAACCAGTCTTTAGTTCCTGTCTAGACTGCATCTCTGGCTTCAGAATCATTAAGCCTATTACACGTCCACACCAAATATAAAGCCCCTCAACTTTGGCCTCATTTAATAGGATATGATGTTCCTGAAGCAAGTAAGATTGCAGTCTCTGGTTCCTGATTGACCTACCTGCATTAGCTGATGATGCATATCTAGTATGGATAGGCGGTTCCTTCTTGGCTGATGGTGTCCTGGATGCACTCCTTGGGTCTAGGTTATCTGTCTTGGTCTTGCTCAATTCAGCCTGCAAGATCTCCTTACCAAGAGCAGATGGCATCTTCTCAACTTCTTCTTTAATTGCAATTTCCTCCTCTTTCTCCTGCACATCAAGGTCCAGATCCCCTACAAAGACAACCAACCAAGTAGGTAATCTAATACAGTAAAATCTTGATAAGTCAAACCTCAAGGGAACAGGTTCAAAATTTGACTTAAGCAGAGTTTTGAGTTAAGCAGGGTTGTATATCATTGTTATACTACTGAAGGCAACGATTTTTGTTTGACTAGTAAAACAGTTGTTTTGAGTTATCAGAGTTTGACTTATTGAGATTTGGCTGTATACACAAGTGGCTAAAATTTGGGTGGTTTGGCAAAGTAACTGAGCTTACAACACACACAACACGCAGGTCTACAGAGCAGGGTATCGTTATTGAGCGAGACACATACTCCCCATACTCATGCTTTTAGCAAGCATTCCACCTGATCTGAAAACCCAGATGAAAGCGTTATGAACACTGACTAAATATTTGTTTATGATTACATCTTTTTATTTACAGGTAGGTAGATCATTTGTCATTTGAAGCAACAAAAATACTCAAAATCTATAGACATGTGCTTAACAACTAATCCGATGAAGTTTTAGCTCAGTGAATGCTGTATATTCAAAGAAAACAATATTCTAGGATATCGATTTCAATTCATGTTTTGAATTGTGCCCAAAATCAGCATCCGGGACACATTCTCATTCCGCCAAATGCAGCTACGTGATGTCATGCAGTGAACCAATGATTAATAGCAACCCATTCATGAATTTGCTTTTTTTTTAATTATCTAGAAATACAAAATGTATTCACTTTTGACTGAGAAATCAACCAGAAAAGCAATTGGCCCATGTTTAGTTATGGTATAATTACTTTAAAAACCAGTCTACTTGCAGGGCAGATATATGTTTGTGTACAAAGGGTTGCAGATACCCATATTAGAAAAGGCAGTTTTTCGTTAAAATAAAACACTCATACTTCAACAATCATTAGAAGTAAGGACAACAAACAAAACAATCTCATGTTAGTTGAAGAGAAGGGAGAGTATATCTGTAATGATATGATTACTATAACACACTGCTGTCCCTACATGGGTGCCAAGAATGTGACATCTCCATGGGCCCATACATACCCAGTGATTTGCTCCACCAGCGTTTGATGATAGGAGGGAATGGAGGTCCAGGCCAGTCATCTCTCTCTACCTTGGGTAATTCATTTGGAGGAGGTTTCTTAGCGGCAGGAAACTTGGATTCCTTGATGAGATCGATAGATAGTTCCTCATCCTTGACTGGCTTAGGCTTGGGCATCAGACTTTCAAATGCACTCTTAGGCCGGGGTCTACCAAAGCGTCCTACAAACATCAAACATATCATTTATCAGCGTGCAATAGTGATTCAAACAATCTGTGCTACCTGCCCTTTTTAAACTGTCTGCTCGTGTTTGAAACTATACAACACCCTTAATTTTTAATGGCAATATAAGTTCCAGCGATCCAACAAAACGTGACATTCATATTCATTCTCAATAGACTTTGCAGGTCACAGGTGACAGGTCCAGTACTATGCAGTGGCAGAGAGAAGATTAGGGAATGTGAGTTACTACAATATGCCTCTATTACTCCATTCTATAAACCACGAGGAATACAACCTGCAATGAACCTTTTTGTCAGAAATGACTATATTTCTCTGAAATAAGTTTTCCCCTGTTTAACCAGCATATATAATGCATGAAAAAGCATCCTGGAGCCATCACTTATCATCACTGATCATCCATTTAAACTGGCATTCCAGAGTCATGCAAACCACTGCTATTAGGATTGACTTGGGTCGATCCAAATACAGTTTGGTTTCAGACAGGCAAACATCATGTATTAAGTTTCCCTTGACTACAATCTGGTGTTATTCCAAAGGACTGCTACAGTCAAAATTTTGAACTCATCGCCCTGTAGTGTTTCAGGCATCCAATGGTCATGTGAATTTTTTTTTAGGAATACATGTAATTTGGAACAGGTGCTTTCATTCTACAAGAACTAAACGGGCCAGGTCGCCGTTGGAGGCTCAAAGGAGGCCGAATGGTTGCCTAGGTCGTTCAAAGGTAGTACACAGGATGTTCAGACATTGCCATGGACGCCGTAAATTTTTGAACATGTTCAAAACAGTTGCACAAAGGTCGCCGAGGAGGTTGGTTGCTCAAAGGTGGCTCAAATGAGGCAAAAGGGAGGCACAAGCATTGCCGTGGTTGCAGAATGGATGCACAATGGTCGGCCAATGGTCCCCACGTAATAGATCCATTCTGTTGCAAATTTTACCGTCAATCTGGGCGATGCTTCTGCCTCCCTTGAGCCTCAAGGGTCGCCTAGGAGGCAGGAGCATGGTCGACCAGTGACCGCCGTTAATTGCCGATGGTCGCCGATGATGGCACAGAGGAGGCTCAATGGTTGCCAAAACATTGCTCGGGGGTCGCCTATGTTGCCTATAATCGCGTTGGTTGCCTTAGGTTGCACAGGGGAAGCACAGGGGAGGCAGGCAAGTGGCTCAGTGGACGCACAGGTCGCTCATAGCTCGACATGAAAATGCCCGAAAATTTCACTTTTGGTGGTTCAAGAGAGGCACAAGGATCGCTGGAGCAGTTACATAGAAACAGGATTTTCTGGGTTTAGGCAACCATTGAGCATCCTGGCCATTTTTCTGGTCGCTCATAGGTGGTACAAAGGTCGCAGCCCTGTGTAAAGGGGGCCTAAGCAAATGTTTCTCACCATGGGACCATTTCTTGACTTGCTGAGGTGTTACTCTGGGCTGATCTTTGTAGTTAGATTCCTCTCCTGAAAGGACAAAATTCAAGTTGAACATTGGAAAACAACAGTTTCCCATCTCTCCACCATCAACCACAGATATGGACTACTTAGGTGTTTCAATACATAAGCAGATTATGAGAAATTGTTTAAATGAAATGAATAATTTGTAAGTTTTTCATAGCGCAGGCAGTAACATGACTACATGAGATACAGAGAGAAAACACACCATGCAACTGCATGCTTTTGTATTATTCATCATTCAACAATCTCTGCAACAATTTCAGTGTAATGAGATTCAGATATCAGTGTGACAAAGCCAAATTATCAAATAGTACGCCCATTTTTTTTCCACAATACCAAATTCAGAATACCGCCATACAAAAAAAATAGCACCATTGCTAGAGAGACACCTTGTTCAGCCCATTAAAACCTGAGAACAAGGGCTCTCTTTCTCAAGCTAGGTCGTATTTTGAAGAGGCAAAATTGTGATTTTTGCACAGGTAAACCTCTGGACATGGCACAACAAAATAAAATCTGTTGACAGAGATTACTGAACATAGAGCTTTTCCCTTAATGAGGTATAAGTACAGACAGAGGATATGCAATTTGTATACATGTACATTAGTTTTAACATCTAATCGTGTTGCACAGTCATGTGTCACAACACAGTAGTGAGAAACAAATAGCTATGATTTACATGTACAGCAAGAACTCAATACATGCCATGCCATGGCAATTTCAGCATGATGTCATTTTTGTTCAATTGACATATGGTTGGTTATGGGCAGCTCATGAAGGTGCACAACACAAAGTACAGGGTGAGTAAAAAAAAAAAAACGAAACCCAAATTTCGGGACCATTGTTTTAGTGAAGTTCTGCATGTAGCACTTTCAAAATCTAGGATATAAAAGCCCCATTCATAAGCTTTCTTTTAGTACAAGAATCATTTGCATCACTCATGTACTTTTCAATTTACGGAATTTTAAACACAACCACCATTTTTAAGTTCTGTCCACAGATCACAAAAACAGGTGTGCGTCCTTTCAGCAAAACGAAAACAATTCACACACATCCCTATGTGATTTGTTTTCGTTTTGCTGAAAGAACACTTACCTTTTTGTGATCAATTTGTGATCCCGACATTCAGCTTTCGTTTGTTTTTACTCACCCTGTATAATAACACTTTGCAAGGAATAAACTAAGAACTCGTGTGACTTGACATTTTGTTGTGCAAGTGAATGATTTAGATGAGGCTGATTATGATCTCCACTGCCAATCTATTTTGTACACATAGTATTATACATACACTGTAAGAACACACAGCATTGCAAATTCTTGTATTACTAACTATTGTACCTTAAAATTAAGAGGTAAAAAGTATGTTAAGAGAGTGCTTTGCATGTTACATATTTCAGCTTTGATGAGAAGTTGAATCCTTAAGCTGCATCCAGTCTAAATGATTCATTTTTCTGGCCCAGCATAAAACTTGCTCAAAATTGATGCTTTTCAGTTCAAAACCATTGACAAATAGTTGTGGCATGATAGTTCACCCTTGGGGGGAAAATAGGAAAGTGTCCTGCAGACCCCTAAAAGTGTCATGTCTACAGTACTGAATGCTGAAAATGGAGAAAATAATAGGACATGAAGTAGAAATCAAATGGAAATTCTACTAAACTAGGAAAACTATCATGCCTGATAGTTGTCTTGAAACTAGCTGATGTGTACGTTTTGCAATACATGGAAGTTAAAATGGATCTCGCACAACAAAATCTTTGTCACATCATGGAGCTATAAAACACACTCAGTGGTCACATGCGGCAATTCTGAATGGATTTTTTTCATGGTATTTTTTAGTGTTTTGAAAATGCTGTCTGAATGTGTTAATGAGTCTGTGCATTAATGAACAAGAGACACTGAGAGAGAATAAATATATGGAATTGTGAGGTTTAAAATTGCCATTGGTACATTTTTCCCAAGAAAAGATACTGCCAAAGGTTAGGTAGAGCCAGGGATGTAAGCATACACATGCAAATAACACAGACGGACTACACTTAATGAAAACATATACTGTATAAGTAGGCATAGGAACTAAAAGAGAAAATCATGCATGCATATAATGATAAGCAGCAAGATCAACAATCAAGATTAACATGCAAGAGACAGGTTCATGAGTTTGACAAAAAAAATCACAAAGTAAAATGTATTTACCCTTGTTGACATAGTCTGAAGTATGGATAAACAAACATACAGCCAAGGAATAAACAGCCAAAAACAGCCAGGAATAAAGGGAGATGAAAAAGAGAAGACAAAAAGAAGACAATCATGGATTGATTGAATGTATGGATCATTTATGCTTCTACAGCTATGATAACCACAGTGCTGCATTTCCAAAATCAATTTAGGCAGGTAGCTATTCAGGAGGTGGAACAATTTTAACTTGTTACATATGTACATATTTATACATTGACAGGGAAATGTGGTAAAGCAAATTATATGACAACAGTAGGAGTTTTTCCCACACACGTATACTACTATATTCACAATCACGGCAAAACACAATCCTTCAATCTTCCAAAAATGGAGCACTATGGTACTACCAAAGCCATGCTGATCTAGTCAAAATGGACATTATCATTTCATCCCTGATAAGATGACATTTTGTAACATCTACAAAGTACAATGACACTTGATGTGTTTAGTTATTATTAAATAAGAAGTTGATCCATTATAATCAAGTCATTGTCAAACTGTCAAACATTACCATTCAGTGCTAGGAAAATAAACTTCCTACATAAACAATGGGCATCCAAAAAGCAAGAGCAACCAATCAGGCAGCTGCAAGTGAATGCAACACCAAACCAAACAAACTGAAGTGGCTAGCCATGAAAATGAATGGTCCACATCACTGACTTCTATACTAGCTGGACTGACTGACAATGCACAGTCATCAGAGGCCAATCTAGGTTAACCAAAATGCAGGAAGACAATTGAAACGAAAGGACCGCAGTCATCACTTTCTATTGAGTGCCTGCAATTTTAATAACCGTGGGTAACAAAGCAACTGTCAGCCAAACTCTTCATATCCCCATGGCAGTGATAACACATACAAAAATATACTTTTTTCAAAGTTTGAGCCTGCTGTTGATCATTGCAGCATGCTCACACTCACAAATTCTGAAGGGTTTTTAAAAATACCTGCATGTTCTACTGATCAATAGCCTGCACTTAAGGGGCAGGAAGATGGCAGAAATGCAGCTTTGGTTGCGTCAAAGAAAATAGGTAAATCAGTGAATAGCAGCCAGTCCAACGAGTATAGAAGTCAGTGGTCAAAATAATACCAACAGTGAACTAGACTAGGCCGATGCAAGGCTATCTATTCACAGAGCTGTATAAAATAACAACTGGAGTCCTGTTACTCATCGAATGCACTTCATGCATTTAAGATTAAAGAGAATGTGCATATTCCAAATCAATGTAATCCAAAGAAATATTGGCCCATTTTCCCAGATATTTACATGCATGAACATGTAAACCTACATGTAGAGTGCCAATTTATCAATGATTTTGATGCATTCACACAATATTCATGCACACCTATCAAATCATAGGCAAGAATACGAGGTCTAGGGACTTCACTCCATGCAGCTATTTGTATACTTAGCTCTGTGTCTTCTATGCAACTATTTAAGCAAACATATCCGTGCAAGAAACTAGACTTCCACATATCTTTCTTACAACATGTTGCAATGTTGGTTTTCCTTAAGAGAGGATTCTACTTGACAGTATTGCACACACAGTGAGATGAACATCAAACATGGTTTGGGTAAGATTCTGATTTCTCAGTGAGAGAAACAAATGGTTTTAACTCTAGATAACAATGAGCAAAGCACGGTCTAACATCTAGTTGATACCACCATCTCTTCTCAAAACCCAAGATGAAAATCTGTCATCATGTTGTGAAATCCTCCCTCATATTCAATCAGGGTATGGTTACTACACAACTGATCTGTAATTACACATCTGAACAGGAACTTGCAGAAGTCACATGCTAACACTGTGATCTCTTATATGCATACTCGAAGAAGTGAGTCTGACTAGTACAATATCAATCTTGGTGCCTCTATTATGATGTCCATGAGTTGCTAAGTCCAGTTGGAGTAGATCAAAATTAAATTCTAAATATAAGTGCCACCAAATTGCAAAGTAGTAGTCAAGTAGCATTTGGGCACACTAAATACAATCAAGTTAGGTACATTGTTTAACCAACCTGGCGTGTGGAAGTTGGGGCTTGTTGGTGGCTCAGCAGCATTAGGTAATATTCTTGGGTAGAGTTTATTAGTGTCTATAGCATCTGGTGATAGGTAGCTCTGAGCAAAGTCTGGACTTTGAGGGCTGAGACTATTGGATGAACGTGTTGGGGTGAGGGAAGGTGAATGAAATCGGCTACTGCTTGGGGAGAGAGACCGAGCTCTTGGTGACATCTGGAGAGAAAAGTATAACAGAGAAATAAAAATGCAGTTTGTGTTAACTGTGGGTGCGTTTCAACATTTTTTCATACACAAGTTGGACCTGTGCTTAACCATATTTCCACTAATTTCCGTGGAACACACTGAGAAGTGTGGGTATGGATTTGACACAGGTATTTTAAATGGGGTATATATGTGGCCTTCTCATAGGAGCCAAGGAAGGACACGTCATTTGCATATATACTGGTTATATATATGTGCTTGGATACTGTAGTTTCATTGGTCTAAGGTGGCCACGTGTCTGCACAACACTCCCGACTTGCCTGTACCCAAGGGCAACCCCTTTCTGAAGTTAGAAGCCCACATCACATTTTTCTAACTCAAATTATCATTCCGAAACCATTAACCTTTAACTCACCACTGTGACCTTGACCTTTGAACCCCAAAACAAATCCTAACTTGCCTACTCCCAAGGGCAACCCCTTTCTGAAGTTACAATCCCAAACAACATTTCTAACTCAAGTTATCATCCAGAAACTGATCTGCCCAGATGGACGGACGCCCGGACGTTCTAGCCAGACGGACTTGTGGGGTGATAGCATTGTGTTCCCATTATCCCTTTTTCTAAAGATTCCCTTCTGGGGTGATGTTTTTCCATTGTGTAAAAAGTGGGGTGATGTGTCCTGAAAGGAACATCACCCCACAAGGGTGGTCTGGTCAGAACGGCACGACGCCCGGACGGACGCCGTAGGCGATGACAATACTCCACCAGCCTCTCGGCCGAGGGGTAAAAAGCTGCCTGATGCATGGTGATAATAAGTGTAAAAGATTTTAAGTAGTTGCTTTTTCTTAGTGGAATTTTCCCAACACAATATCACTTTTTATGGATGAGAATTCAATTGATCAAAACATCCTGTGTGAATGAATGCTGGAAGTACAAGTGCGACTGCTGGATGCACAAGTCTGTTGTGCTGTACCTGGGATGTCTATGCCAAACTGTCATTATATAAATAACTATCAAAAGTGCTGCAACATCCCCTTCCAACATCAACACAACACGGTATTCAACATAACCTGACTATGTTTTACACAAGAAATGTTTCTATGAAACTGAACAAGCTTACCAATCTGTTACGATTGTAATCATAAAGCATGGCATTCTCCTTCAACTTCAGCGGCGACAAGTCTAAAATCTGGATACAAATTTGATCAAAGTTGACATTACAAGTAATATAAGTTACAATTACATCAAAATTATATGACTGTTTATACATATGTATGCAAACTAGTAAATTGAATGTATGTCACATTTTACTTCAAATCATGACCCAAAATTCTGTTCATTATAAATAAGTGATATGATATAGGATATAACATGTAAGGGTACACACCGGTAAATCGATCCGCCAAGCTCATGAATAAAAGTTATACCCTCAAAATATTCTATATTAGAGAGTTCTGAGCGCCGTAAAATTGGGGAATTGAAGAGATATGGTAGTGAACCTCTGGCCCGGACTTGGGGCTTCCAATTCTGAGCATTTTGGATGCTATTGGGCTCGAAAGTGGCGCTATTTTGCCATGTTGTGGAGGGATCGTTTTTCAAGATGGCTACTTTTCCGCTTTGGGGAAAATAGGGGTCGTCTTCTTTGCGTGAAAATATCTCGAAAAGTCAATGGTCAACCCACCATAAATTGAAAAGAAATTGAAAGATGACACATTGATCATCATTTTTCTGTGCAGCTTGAATACCTGTGAGAGTTTTGAGTATTTTTAAAAGAATTTTGAAGTACGGGCATTTAGCACTAGTGTCTATGGGAGTTTATTTGCAGGTATGCACCCTATAAAGAATCACAAAGATGGCCGTTTCGCGCATGCGCTGTGCCGCGGCAGTGGTCTTTTCAGTGGGCGGAACCTACGGGGAGGGGGAAAAAGTGTTTTAAAGGTATCAACAAGGGTTTTTTTCCGTAACGGATGCTTCCAAATCATAAGGGAGCAGTAGGCTATCACCCGATTACAACAATTGATAGTTGAAAAGGGGGGGGGGGGCATTTTGAGCTTTAAAGTAGCTGGAACTCAATTTATTGTCGCTGGGGGCGCTCTACAGCTTAGCAGGGGCAAAACAATCACTATTTTCGGGCTTAATATCGACCTCGGATAATATTTTTCTTTCATTTTTTTTTTCAAAATATTGACTTTGGAGATATTCTGCTTGTCCTGAATGTGATTTTGTGTTAAAATTTAAAAGTTGCCTGCTATTATAAAGAATCACAAAGATGGCCGTTTCGCGCATGCGCTGTGCCGCGGCAGTGGTCTTTTCAGTGGGCGGAACCTACGGGGAGGGGGAAAAAGTGTTTTAAAGGTATCAACAAGGGTTTTTTTCCGTAACGGATGCTTCCAAATCATAAGGGAGCAGTAGGCTATCACCCGATTACAACAATTGATAGTTGAAAAGGGGGGGGGGGGCATTTTGAGCTTTAAAGTAGCTGGAACTCAATTTATTGTCGCTGGGGGCGCTCTACAGCTTAGCAGGGGCAAAACAATCACTATTTTCGGGCTTAATATCGACCTCGGATAATATTTTTCTTTCATTTTTTTTTTCAAAATATTGACTTTGGAGATATTCTGCTTGTCCTGAATGTGATTTTGTGTTAAAATTTAAAAGTTGCCTGCTATTATAGGGTACACACCGGTAAATCGATCCGCCAAGCTCATGAATAAAAGTTATACCCTCAAAATATTCTATATTAGAGAGTTCTGAGCGCCGTAAAATTGGGGAATTGAAGAGATATGGTAGTGAACCTCTGGCCCGGACTTGGGGCTTCCAATTCTGAGCATTTTGGATGCTATTGGGCTCGAAAGTGGCGCTATTTTGCCATGTTGTGGAGGGATCGTTTTTCAAGATGGCTACTTTTCCGCTTTGGGGAAAATAGGGGTCGTCTTCTTTGCGTGAAAATATCTCGAAAAGTCAATGGTCAACCCACCATAAATTGAAAAGAAATTGAAAGATGACACATTGATCATCATTTTTCTGTGCAGCTTGAATACCTGTGAGAGTTTTGAGTATTTTTAAAAGAATTTTGAAGTACGGGCATTTAGCACTAGTGTCTATGGGAGTTTATTTGCAGGTATGCACCCGTAAAACAGTTGAATTCATGGACAACTTTATAACCCACAACTTTGAAAACCTTAATACTGGGAAGTATCTACTTGAGACTCCCTAATAAAACATGTTTGGAAGGAGTATTATGGGGACTATATTGATGACTGTACATGATTGTCCTCATTGAGAGACTATTTTGCCTCAGGCAGGAGCACTTGAAGCCATCTATGCATCAGGCTCGCAGTTAATGCTCATCCAATGAAGTTGTTGTCTGGTGGACACTCAAGCCATGTCCACAAGACTCACCAAGATGAGTGTTACTTTTGCCATGAAGTCCACTGCATGAAGGTCACACTAGCACAGGCACACTGTGCATGCACTGTGTGTGATTTCTTCAGCTGGCAATTTAACCCTAACTCCTGGGGCTCTTTTACTAGAAAGTATCATGAATCTGCCAAAATCCACCAATTTTGTCATGCAAAAAATGCTGGTATCCTGAATCCATCAGAATCCCCCAGTGTAGATTCTGGAGGTATCCTGAATCCGCCAGAATCCACCAGCAAAAGTCTTGATGGATTCTGGCGGATTCAGGATACCATGGTGGCATACAAAAAAATACAGCATGTTTTTCCATAGAGTCTTCAAAATCCATCACCTAAATTTCTGGTGGATTTTGACGGATTCAGGATACCATGCTCGCATGAAAATTGTGATGTGTGTTGTTGCATAGGATCCATCAAAATACACCAATGCATGGCGACCTCAGCATGGATCAGTACCGAAGTGAATACGTCTCGCGCACAAAATTTGTGTGAAAGACATTAGCGCATGTTTCAGCCCGTAAACCATAGATATAGAATGAAAAGACTAGATCGGCAGCGCGTCCACACGCGCCCAGTCACTGTGCGATAAATCTCCGCCATTTTGGTTGTCTCTCATAGACGCGCAACAAGTTAACGTAAAGTAATGGAGCTAAATGTATCTTTCCTCCAGCACGTGACCTAGCTCAACAAGCGCGAAGCAAGAAATGCGCACCGAGTATTTACGCAATGCGCACACATAATTATTAGCGATGCACATGGTGTTCTTTGCGCGTAAACGGTGTTACGTTCTTCACGTTTTCGCGCATTATTTGTATCTTTCCTCCAGCACGTGACCCTCCATGCAAGTCCACCCAGTACATGTGTGTACATGTTTGTACAGTATGTGACAGACTTGGCAGGGCTAGTGCCAGCAGTATTTACTTGACCACAAACATTGCAAAAGAGTTAAACTGTTGAGATCCTGAATCCATCAAAGTCCCCCAATAGCTCAAAATGGAGGCATCCTGAATCCATCAAAATCCGCCAGCTCCGCTAGGCTTCGAATCCTGAGTCCATCAAAATCCCCCAGTTTGTTCAATATGGAGGTATTCTGAATCCGCCGAAATCCCCCGAAACAGGGGGGTGGATTTTGATGGATTTAGGTACGTTAGGGTTAATCATGTTTTCACACTCTGTGCTCAATTCTGTGTATTTTTTCATGAAAGCCACCATAGATATTATGTATGCCATTAGATATACATGTATTAATATACTTGTAACAAGGCACCATTCACTGACATACATACAGCGGAATCCGGCAACCAAAATAAGAAGCTGTTACTGCGGTGGTGCAACGCTTGTGCGAATGCTGCACACGTTCTTAAAACCACGGCACGCGCATTTGGGTAACTCTATTGGTAAAAGGAGCCCAAAATGCGTGCGTACAGCATGAGCATGACTTGCGCGATCCTGGTGCCACCTCACAAAATGGCTGTCGCTGGATTAGTCTATAAGCAAAAACATGTTCCTTATAAAAATGATGAACAAGAGAAGAACATCCGATCGTAGGATGTGTGTTTAGGCCCAATGATGCGACAAAAAGTAAAGGCCAAGTTTTGACACCGGTAAGAGTTTACCAATTTGGAGTTTACCACTGTCTCGGTGATTTATTACCAAAAAAATGATTTCAATGTGAACACGGCTCAAGCAACCAGCCCCAGGCAATACTAAATTCGGTTTGCAAATCTGATATACATATAGACTGATCCAAGTTACCTCCATATTGTCTTTTCTTTGTGCATTTCCGCTATTACTGGGATACTCTAAAGCTCACTTTGGTATTACATAAAATGCATTCACCTTTAGTGATATTTTCAGAGCTTCACAGAATATATACTGGGGTATGCTCAGGCAAAGAAGATTCCAGTAGTGCGAACAAAACCATCACCATATAATTACGCAATCATATAATTGTATGTTTCTTCAGATAAATGACATTCATAAATACCTCAGACAGTTGAACCCTTCCTATTGGTCGAGAGCCCGTCACATGGCCGGTTTTAAACAATTGATAACCAGCTGGCTGGTCTTAAACACTTTTCCAGTGTCACATGAAATTTTGACAATGAAATCCGGTGCCAGTACCGTTTAATTGGTTGAACATTCACAATCCTCACGTAGGCATGAGCAATACTACCAGTCAGTATTTCATAGTCCTACAGGTGTAAATTCATATTATAGCTGCACAGCTGCGTTCTGTGCCACATCACGCATAATGACGGCTCGGGTCATTATCAGTATCCCAACTCCAACCGGTCTTAAAACATAGTGTTTAAAACCATCCAAGCACAAATTTAATCCCTTATTATAAAGTTGGGATACATTAGAAAACAATGAACAAACAAATTTCTGAAAACTATTTCTCCAACATACACTTGTGTCAATGGAAAAACAATCAGAGCACTCATATCTATTAACCGGGCCGATGAAACATCTTTTCATTAGCATGTGCATTTTCATCGGTTGCTTTGTGTTACCATCAGCACTCCAGAATACAACCGTTGAGTTTTAAGTAAATACGTTTCTGAGCTAGGAAAGCCAATGCAAAAAATTCCCCTAAGTCCAGGCCCGCCTATACTCCTTATTTATGACTCAAAAGTACACATGTATACCAGAAATACCTGCTACTTTGGAGGTATTGGTGTATTGGTTGTGTTACTATCTGTTTGAAGATCTTTCCTCCCACAATACATTTTATGAAGAGTGCACTTTTAAGTCTATTTCTCCCACATAAGAATGGTGTTGCCCCTTCATGAAATATGTTGATCACCGCATTGCAAATTAAAATAAGTCTTTCTCTCTTTCCAGGCAAACCCATGATCCTGTGAGAAATGAATGACAGCAAATCCAACCCACAGGCTCTAGTGTTACCATTCAACTCTATGCTTACCTTGAGGTGCTTACTACAATCAGGGTGCCATATTTCAGTACCTGTAAATCAACAAAAGTATTTGTAAATGTACATTTATTTAGATATTAATGACTTCTTTCGTTTGTTTAAACAGTTCACGTGTTCATGTTTTTTAAACAAATTGTGAATTATTTCTTTGGTGAGGGGGAATTGAGAAGCATGGATTTCTGTATGAACACAGTGGAGTTTGTGCATGTGATAATATAATTGAATTTGTGATTGGCAATTTCTAGCATTTCATTCGTCAATCAAGCCGACAATACCGATATTAATAAGTAATAAATGAATTGGTTGTTGTCCCTGTAGAGTATAGGTTGGATGGTAAGTCTATTCCCTGTCACAGTCTGATGGCATAGAGCCAGTCATGCAGATTATTACATTACCAGCCATTGTCATCACTTGCATCATGTAGGCTAGACTGAATTAATCAGCTACTCTTTTAGGTCTATAAGTATGCCCTTTTTTATTATGCACTTCAAAATTCCTAAATGTAATGAAAACGGGAACCATATGTTGAAATGAACTATTGTGGCTATGCATTACTATGCCTTTTCTGTTTCAATGAAAATGAGCAACTCAATAAAATGCTTATAGCGGACTTGAGTGGAGTTGTTGGTGGGGTGAAATCAACTGTCAGCAGGTGACTCAGACACCAACTCCAAGTACCAATGGACAATAGCCTTAAAAGTCTGTACTCAAAAGTCATGAAGACTCAACAAGCAGTTTCACCTTATCATGCATCACATAGGATTTGCCTCTCATGTCATGGTGCAGACATTGGTTATGGTATACTTAACCTTTTTTCATCCTTGTTTGGATGCCTGAAATTTGAAATTAAGGCTCTGGCAGATTGAAGAGAGATACGTATGTGTTATATATTGTCCAGCATTATTTGGACACTTCAATGACAACTGGACCTTTTTTTGGTCATTCATACAAATAAGCGATCTAACATAATGTATTGCTTGTGGCCAGACAGCTATTATCACTATACTCCAATCACTGTCCTAAGACATTCGATGTGACTAGCTAATGTACCTTGGATGTACATATCCTCTCCCTCAATGAAGTGGCTTCCACATCGACCACATCTGGCGCAGGTTGGATGGTACCTCTTATCCCCAGCCTGTCATGACAAACAATCACGTCAAATTAAATGATTCATCCATTGTCTTGACTGATAATTTGAATGATTGTGATTATTTTGATTCCTCAAGATGATTGAAAGTAACTGCATGTATGTTTATAACCAGGGCCAGTGATCCAAAACAAATTTAACAAAAGACCTACAACACCGTACATGTGTACCAATACACTGTGGATGTGAACAAACCATGTGCTGCAACAGTGGTCTATCCTGGTGTCATGTGTTAAAGCTGTGTGCTCTATTTTTTAATCAAGCAGGGGTTAAATGTGCTTAACAAATTCATCAAGTCAAGCCACCACACAATCTGTATGTAACTCAAGGCTAAATAAAAAAATAGACAATGTTCTATAGAAATTCTACTTTATAAAATGAGCAACAGGCTTCCTATTTCCGAATTGTGCCAATGCTACTTTGAGATTTCACTTGACTTATCCCTTCTCTGCAACATACTTCAACACAGTCCAGATTCCCTAGTGTATTGAAACCATATCCCTTCCGTGTGGCTAGAATTGCACCGCAACCCACTCATTCAATTTAAAATGCCAAAATATGGCCCCAAGCGGCAGGCTATGATGAGAGATATGAATATCCCAAACAACAAGCGCAGGCAGCCTCATAGGGGACTTCATGACACTGTTATGGTCCTGACTTACCAACCCTCCAGGGCAAATGCCGAGTAATAAATCTTGCCAACACTTTTTATTTCAAACCAGAATAACTGCTGCTTTTTTGAAATCCAATTTTGAAAGAAACTTGGGGAAATACCAGTGTCCAGTAACTACAAAATTGACTTAATATCAACAACATCAAAGAATTTTTTATGCGAGTGAAACATGCACGGTGTATGTATGTGTCAAGCAAAAGGCCATTTAAAAAAAAAACAGTAAAAATGATAGATAAATCACAGAAAAGTTGGCACTTCAATGTTTTCATTTAAAACACTCCAATGCAATCACATTGACTGGGCCAAAATGTTTTTAATAAAGAAAAACAATTCAGAGTTCCAGTGTTGAAAAGGAATTCACAATCATACCAATTGCAAATTATAGGGATCTACATTGGCAGCATATGTACCTTACCTCTAAAACTCTCCCAGTGATAAACTGTTCACAATGGTAACACTGCACTCCATAATTCTGCTGATAGTGCTTTTCACAATAAGGCTTTCCTTCCCTGAAATAAATAGTGAATACTAATGAGCCTTTCTGATACACTGGTATTTCTGTTAATCTCCTTGTTCCCATTGTACCAATATAAGATTGTTTTCTATTGTCACAACAATTCTATTTGCTGCATCTCTTGGGTATGCTACTGCCAAATCCTCATCATGCACATAAATATGAAAATCTTCAGCTATGAATTTGTTATTACTTATTTGAAATGTATATTTACATTTCTCCAAAGCAAAACCAATGTCTGCAGTCTATGCATAACTGGTATGTGCTATCTAGCCAGAAATCACGTCCTAGTCAATGCACCTAGTCAGTTCCCTATGTGGTTTATTTGAAAATCTATCATTCTGTTTTTGATAATCAAGTGTACATGTACTTGTATTAATTTTCACTACTAGTATATTGTTGCCAAAGGAAAAATTGTTTTGCTAGTTTTTCTTCATACTCTTCAAAATCCAATGATTCACCACAATCTAAAACCCATACCGTATAGAATTATAGTATAGAAGGGGAAACATGTCATCATGAATAGCAACCAGTACAATGTCATAAGCTGCCAGTGTGTTTGTCCACATACAGGGTGAGTAAAAAAAAAAAGCAGAACCCAAAAACCCTAAAAAAAAATTATTTCATATTAAAAAACATATGTAACACCAAAAAATAATGACTGACTGGAAAGCCAATTTCATAAGCTTCTTTTAGATGAAAAAACTACTGAAATTGCTCAATCCGTTCATGTAATATCACCATTTAAATGCAATGATCCTAAAACCTGTTTTGTCAAAAAAAAACTATTTATTGTGTATTCTGACTGTTTGGAGCAACAAAGAAAATGACACAGAATACTTGTTTCAACAACTGTCAACAACTGTAGTACACAATGCAAACAATATGACTTATAAAGCCACTTATTTAAAAGACGGGCCTTGAAAGGGACTTTGTTGAATATTTTTAACTTTTAAACTGAGATTTTATCACTGGTGATATTTGAAGACAATTGTGACGACGATTCTTGAAATCGCATTTTTGGACAAGACAGGTTTTAGGGTCATTGTGTTTAAATGGTGGTATTCTTTGAGTAATTTCAGTAATTTTTTCATCTAACAGTAGCTTATAAAATTTGCTTTTCCAGGCATTATTATTTTCGGTGCTAAATATTTTTTTAAATATGAAACACAATTTTGAGGGTTTGGGTTCCGCTTTTTTTTTACTCACCCTGTATTTACATGTAAGAGCCCAGCAGCTGATTTCATGAAACACTACGTTACTTAAGCCATGTCTAGGATTTATACACCAACTTTATTACTCTTCCGCACAAGGTACTTTTGAACAATTTTCACACAAAAAACATGGCATAGCTGACCGACATTTTTAAGCCCTTGACTTATCTCTGCCTGACATTATGAAAACAGTTTTGTTTTTTCAGAATCAGGCAGCAGCACTCTAAAATTCTCTCAACATTAAAAGACTATTTCATTACCATAAAAACCAAAGCTGTAAAATATGTGTATTAACCTGGATAATGTGGGTAATGACTGGCTTTACAATGATGACAGAAAGCCATATTGTTCATTTTTGTCTCAAGAAATCTAAAATGACTGTGTAATTTGCTGTAATTTGCAAATGATTTTGCTGTAATTCACAGATTTACGTTCTGTGTAAATTTATGAAATATTTCATGACTTGTTGCACAACTCAAAGAAAACGATGTGGCATAAGCAAACTTATGTCACTGAGTAACGTTTTGTAAAACTGGCTTGAGGGTTGAAAGAAAGGAAGACCAAATAAAATAGGTCAAAAAGCTTAAGCAACGAGAACCCAAACATGATTCTGAATTATGATCATAAAAAAAAATATTCTGGGCAGACTGACAAACCTTCAATGGCAAAAGAAAAAGTAAGATAAAAGTCCCACCTGAGTGACTTTTCCCAACTTTCACTCAGGAGGTAACACACCGAGTACACAGTGTTTTATACATCGGTGAAGGGCAAAACCTAATATTAATCTGAAAAGATAGCATATACTTACTTGCCCATGTATTCACCAGTGAGAACTTTACTACAAACAGTACACTGGAAGCAGCTTACATGCCAGTGCTTATCCAGCGCAATCAAGGCTTGCCCATTCAGTATCTCCTTACTGCATTGAGCACAACCTGGACAAAAACAGAACATTAAGAATAACCATTTAATGGAGTACTTGCATTGGTTGCAGTTAAGTGTACTAGCTTGTTGCTGGGACACAAATTTGTCGTCATGAATCAATTGCAGCAAGATATTAGCCCAAATGTGATCAATTGGCAACATCTGTGAATTTGCCAGGACATACTGTTGTGATCACTGATGCAACAATTTTGTTGTGAATAAATTGTGTTCAGATATGAAGATCTTCAGGCATGATGTTGATCTACTTCCATCAACCCAGTACCAGCATTATCATTATCTCATGTGAAATTGAAAGAGGGTTGGACGCAATTACATGTACATCAAGAATGAATAATGTCAATGTCAAATACATACTTAAAGTTATTTATAGTGCAAAAATTTTAGTGCTCAGTTGGTACGCACTGATAGTTGAAGTGGGATACCTGTATCACCTTTGCACCAGGTAGGTTTTAACAGTCTAACTATTTGAGGATATTTATAGTGACACACTTTCTAACATATGCAATTGATGGGTACTTACGGATAGTAGCGGTGACTGCCTGCTTAGGCTTAGCATTGGAAGTCTTATTGGATTTGGAGCTCTTTCTGTCTTTGTTTGGCACGACACCATTGGCTGAGGCTTCCAGTGCAGCTGGGGTACATCTTGAGCAGAGCACTTCATTGCCATTATAGGTTACCTTCTCACCAGGTGTTATAGTATGTCTACACACAATTACACAAAATTATCAAGACTTATAATCTGTGATATGGGACCCATACATGTATGTGTACATCACAGAAAGTGTTGCTGGCCATTTGGTTGTACTTGTTCTACATAACCCCCAAGGACCGACACACAAAGGGAGAACAACAGATCCTTTCAGTCCTCAGGAGTTGGGTCTTTTGTTCAAAACCGTCCTCTGTAGTACATGTAGGTTTGTGTGCTTTAATAGTCTATGGGAGTTTAGTAAAACAAGAGTGTGTGTACATGTACATGTATCATCCGTTTGTTTAAATCATACACGTAAATGGTGTTTTCTGGCTTGCCTCCTGTTTCAGAGAAGGTACAGTACACAGCAAGTGAAGCACAGATTATAGTATCATTATTCAAGTGAGTTAAGTTACCTAGATCGGTAAGCATAAGCATTGAGATGTATGTTGTCTACTCTACCTGTACAATATTATCATGGAGCAACTTTGATCAAGAGGTATGAACAACTAGAGTCCTATCAACTGGTCAGAACAGGCATATCAGTCATGTATGCAGGATTTGGGGGAGGGGGTTAATAGGCTTGAGCCATTGGACCAAATGCACTCCCATCATTTGTTTTAACACTGTAAATGTATTTGCAGTTTCAATTTATAAACATATTATTTTTCAATCTATTACTTTCACAATCAGCAAATGTGAAAATAAAAGTAGTCTAATAGATCAACAGAGTTACTTTGACGGAAAAAAAGCTTCACAAACTGTGCTTGTCTAACTCAATTAATGAGTCTTTGTCAAATTGTTTTGTCATAATCAGCTTTAAAATAGTTTGTAGTAATACAGATGTTCTCTTTGAAGCAGTGTGAAATTTTGGAATTGCTTTGATCTTTGTTAATGTCTAACCTTTAAGAATGCACAAAAAGTAGTATTGTTAATATGATTAGAATACGTTAGAAACCAAGTAATGGAGGTGATGAATGAGTCATGATTTGACTCTGTCCATCAGATCTTGTACCGGTACATACGGAGAGTTAGTGCTGTTGTTATGACAACATACAGGTATTTGGAATTAGTATAAACACTTCTAAAACATAGTGATCATCACTACACAATAACAATCAGAATGTTTATGTGAAACATGATCATCGTTTCACACATACATGTATCATTGTTAGCCACTCGAAAGAGCCCTTTTATTTGTGACATCATGCAAGGGTCTTCAGTATTCACTACCATACCAATAAAAACACATTAAACATGAAGCAAATGACAGACCTGTTATGTGAGATAAAGGCATTTCATTAAGTGCACAATATGCATTGTAATGGTACCTGAAGAAAGGAGGGAAACATTTAAACTACCGTTTGTCATATGGATGCCAAGTAGAAATGCCAAACAGAAATACCGGTAAGTGTGTTGCACTGTCAAAAAGAGTGTAAATGATTTTAGTTTAAAACAAGAGGAAGGGAGAAAACAAGGTACAGAAGTCATAAACGTAAATGTGGATGGCTGATCTCAGTCAAATTTCTCCCGAAGGGAAAAAATAAAAATACAAAACTTTTAGTGTTCAAGGACATGGCAGTATGTAGGTATACCTCTCCCTAGTGTTGATGGAATACCGCTTAAGCTAATTCTTTTCTCTACCTTTTGTGCAGCCTTGCATACGTCGTGTGCTTTACTTAACCCAACACCCTATCCACATACATTGTACATGCTCCATTCACATAAGATACGGTACTGTTAGAAATGACTGGAATACAGGAGATGCATGTGACAAGAAAAAAATGCTACCAATTACAGTACTATGTTGTCTGAGTATTTCATCAGGAAAACTATTGGCAATGTGCATCACCAATCACAATGGTGGTGCATACATGTAGACCTGGTGAAATAACAACATGTATACAACATGGTGCTATAATTGTTAGCCATTTCCCATACCCATATCAATCTACTGGTCTGAATTGTTTCCTATTCTGCAGGAAACGTGCATGTTACGTTATTTGGTAAATTTTTTTTTAACAGCCCTTTTATCTATTGCTAAATAAGTTATGACCCAAATAGTCAATTGAACTACCACCAAACAGAAGAATAAATACTTTTCTAAAAAAAAAATTAAAAAAAAAACTCCAACTACATTGAGAAAAGTCTAGGTGAGCTGAAGCACAGCATTACACTGTACATTAAGAATTGTTTGTTTTTTGTTGTTTAATAACAAACCTGTCGAGCGACGTTCTTCGTAGATCTACAACCTACAAGGGTGCAATCCACTGTGATTAGTTAGGATTAAAGATACATGCAAGAAAGCAGCCATACATGTACTGAATATATATATGTAGGTGTAATTGAAGAAATGAGGAGTTGTGCTGCCTGGTCACGCAAGCTATAAAGCCAAGGCAGATGGTGCACACTGCAAAGTGCACGCATCTGGACTGAGCATCAAGGTTATGACTGAGTTCAACATGCATGATGCAAGTGGTGTACAAGTTTCATCTCAATGACCACAAACTTGAAGCACATCAAGAACAAGATGGTTCTCGAACAATGGGTCTCAACTGCTTTCGCGATTATCTTTAAAGAGTGACTAATCAGTATGAAGGTTGCCATGTTGCATCTACGGTATGACCCAAATTTGGTTCCAATTGGACTTCAACTTCTCAAATGAGACCAATTTTACATAATCAGCCTATTTTACAACTTGACCTCAAATAACCTTTGACCTTGTTATGTGACCTTTGAATTCATTATCATATGAAGGTTGCCATGTTGCATCTATGACCCCAAGTGAGGTTCCAATTAGACTTCAACTTTTGAAATGCGACCAATTTTACGAAACTTTAACCAAAATACCACATACAAACATGTACTACATACATACCGGTACATGTACATAAGTATACATACGTACGTACTAGCATGCATGTAGTGATTGCATAGTCTCTTTCCTGAACAAAGTTCAGTCGAGACAAAAATACCATTTCATTGCTGAGGAGTGCACCGGGTACATGAAGCTTGGAATGGGACCATACTGCAATTTGATCAAGCTTAAATAATCGTTTCAACATAGTGATTTTTAAGTTACGGTAGGCTTAACTCAGCAGCAAATAAAGACAATTTCAGAGGAAATGTAACACCCAATTCAGCCATGCTTAACTAACTTATTACAAGGATTTGAATAAGATTGACATTTTGAAACAATTAGGACTTGAGCAACTATAAAGATCACTTGACTACTGCAGTCATTTGAAACAACACTTTTCTTGTCCAAGGAACATCAATGCATGAAGTTTGCCTAATAGTATTTGGTTAGGCACAACTCTCGAACAACAGTCTGAAATGGCTGTATCCTAAATGATTGAAGTTACTGGCAGAAGTTTTGTTAATAGCATTTTCAGAAGGAGAAAAGGTAAGTAAGCTTAGAGTTCAGCAGCCGTGATTGTGTACAAACATTCCTGTAAGTTAATGGTGCATTCCTGTCAGAAACATTCAGCCAATCACAATATGCTGTGCCACTGCTGAGTGGAATGTTGCATTAATGGATGGGGGTTGATCATCGCTGGCAGTGAAGAGTGAGGAGGACTGTACAAACCTACAGAGGTTGCACTGAAGATGACAGTGAAGACAAAAACAGCAGCCTAGTTTCTTGTCAAGTGAAACTTCATCACCGCTATCGAAGGCATGCCTGGAGGAAACAGTCACAACATGAAATACAACCACAAGACAGAGAGAAAGACAACAGAAGGGATAAAAGATACAAATGCTAAATGACATGATGACTTCACATACTTAAAGCTATAGTCCATCATTTGCAGCCATCCGAAAAGTAACTGGCGTAATTACTGTTGAAAAACAAACTTGGTTGAAAGATAGTAAGGGAACTAAACTCCCTGTGAAATTATTCTTTCTGGCAAGCTGTCTTTTTGAAGAAATCAACGAAAGAAGGCATTTCCAATGGTGATTCTTAAGAAGCACTGTAGGAAAATTTAAATTATTAGTTCGTTTTGTTATTCAGCGCAGCGCGCACAAGTATTGGAACGACGCACACGCGCGCGCGGTTGTTATAATTCGTCGGATCAGTGCGCGACGCCGCGTATAGCTGCAATTACAAAACAATTCAAAACATGATTCAGTAACTTTTGATTTGAAATTGAGATCTTAGAATGCTGTTTTTCTCGGAATGTACAGCTGAAGCTTAGCTGAAACTTCATCAGGTTAGTTGCTCAGTATCCTTTATTAGATTTTGAACACTTTTGTTGCTTCAAACGAACAAAATGCACTAATTACAAATGATGGACTATAGCTTTAAGACAGCAGAGGTAAAGAAATCTGGCATTGGAAACTTCTTCCTAACAAACAACACAATAATGTCATATACCTGTACAGTGGAACGCCGCTATATTAAAGAACATCGCGGGATCCACAGAAAATGTTCGCAATAGCGATCGTTCATTATAGCGATCGTTCATTATAACGATATTGAGCTACCAGTACTTAAAATGGCATCTGTCCATTTATAGTGCCCTTTTGTGCCCTATTTGAAGTGTGCCCTCGTTTGACTGGATTTGTGTTGATGTATTTCCCCTTATTTGCCATTTCGATATGCAAAAATGTTTCTTACAGTGTGGCTTTCCCCTTCAGTTCAACATTCAAACATGATGTAACCATGGGTCGTTTGAGTTCGGGAAATAAAAATGGCCCAAATAGCGTTAAATATAACCGGCAGATTTTTGTTAATCTGTTCACTTTTTCAACAACGATGTTCGGTACGTTTTCTACAAAATAACCGAGAGCCAAGGATGATGTTAGATATAGCCGAATGCTCGGCATAGCGGTGTTCGGTATAGAGACATTCCACTGTATGCAGCTATGTGGTTGCGAAGGGTGATTTCTAAAGGTTACTTAACACTTTATTTTGAATGAAACTACATGCACACAGACATGTTCACCCAGGCGGGCAAAATCTTTGGAAATTACTTTCTCCTGTTTGGAAGACCGGATCTTCACTAACTTTCAGGGTTTATTTCCCTTATAATGATCCAAGTATGCGCTAAAAAGCGTTGTGATATTTTCATTACTTACATGTATCATTGAAATTGGAAAAATAGGCCTGGCTACATGCATTTTTTGGAAGTTGTAACACTGGCGTTTGCAATATCTGTCAATCTTTTCAAGCCTCACTTATATTGATAAGGTTCCTATCCATTAGGGTGTGCAGTAAAAATTTGAGTAATAGCCTCCTTCATTAATAAATACCACCCTTTTTGCCGGCTTCCATTGGTCGATACCAAGACCCACACGAAGTCACGCCGAGTGACGCTAATGAATATGCTAATATGTGATTGTCATTGTGTTGCTGGGCCGAAATCAGTCAACCATAGCACCTATGGCGCTATAGGATCTTTGCTGAAGCGCATGCCCGTGTTGGTCGGAAAAAAACATCCTCGTTGAAATTTTCCTTGGAGATAGTTCAAGGTGTAACACTGGCGTTTGCAACAACAGATTAAGCTGAAATTTGGAATACTTAGATGATGTACATTGTAAGTGTTCAACTACTCGTGAAATAACAATTTGTGTAGATTCCTAAAAATTGAAATAAATACATAGATTTGGGGAAGTTTTCAAATGATTTCTTCCAGACTTGAAGGTCAGCTTTACCAGTAACCAGCATTGATGTTTTGGCATCGATGGCGGCGATTTTTTCACTGACATGAAGTTTAGAATTTCTTCTTCCGTTATAATTTAACATTTCAATCATACTGAGCATATTTTCTGAGAAACACAACGTTCAAAAGACTATTTTTTTGGGGTGCATAAATTTCGCTGCTCTGTTATAGCGTCCAAATACGTAATCGGATTAGCTTTGCTTTTCAACGGCAGACGCTTTGCCTTTGCAACCATATGGCTGTATGTATTAACATACATGTAAAGCCATGAGTATTTATGATATAGTTTCTACAGAAATTCTTATACGTTGGATATCATTATTCTGTGAACCACTTCCTAGGTTAGAATCTTTATGAAATTTTGATCCATTGGAAAAAAATACCAACCACTTACACAACTGAAAATGGGGAGGAAAGAGAAAGGGATGTACCAGTATTATTCTTTTCAACCCAATCTGAGTTGCCAATCTGCATGGATAACCTCTGGTTATTTTGGTTCCATGAGTTACCTCTTTGCCATCATTCATGACAAATTGTCGACAGGGTTTCATGGCTTTTCTGTTAAGCAATTTAATCACACTGTGGAAGACACTTTTTTATTTCAACCGTTAAGAATTTGATGGGCCAGTAAGTTTGCAACTGTTTCTTGCTTTTGCATGTAAGTGGGTGTTGGCCACTGCCAGTAACAATCAGTCTTTTGAAAACTGACATGCCAAATTTCAACCATCACTAATCGGTTGATATTTTTCAGTTAGGCAGCTTTTTGCAGTCATTTCACAGCTGACTGGACTGGAATTTTGCATGCTTTGCTGTATAATCAGTGAACCTGATGAGCTATTTATATAAAGAAACACACTGAAAACAGGGTTGTTCAAAATAATATTATTGATACCATGCTCAAAATAATACCACTTTTGATATTACTATGTAAATGGGGTGCAGTTGACCCTAGCACTAATTTACCAATGAACCCAGATGCAAAGTCCAATATCATACTGTTTACATGTACATGTAATGTACCCTGAGTAAGATGGCATCAGCAGAATATGCAGCAACAATGAAACAAAACAAGTGATCGATGATACTGACCATGTGACTAGGGATCCCAGTCATGCTATGGCTAAACAGAAATCTACACATTTGCATGCACAGCTACATGTACGAGTATGTGTATGTTAAAAACAATGTTGAACAGACAGAAAGAACAAGTTGTTGCAATTCACACTCGACATGACGTACACATATAAGTAAGGCTAAGTGGAAATTAATAAACACTTTTGAAAAAATTTATCCTCAATTCCTCATGCGCACTTGACAGGTCTGAATGAAAGTGAACTGACGTGACGTGCAGCTGCTTCTTTCTATCTACATGTACATAATGCATAGTCAGACACCATCCTTAATAGATTATAAAGATATATGATAGATGTGAGAATTAAGTACATCTTTGTGTAATATGCAGAGTAGTTGGACTTTATTTATTTATGACCAAATTAAGCAAGGCATACTTTAGTTTCTCAATGCAAATATAAACTTGAAAAACCATATTCAATGTCCAACCACTGGAATCAAACATCAATGGCATCTTGGGATGAGTGTATTCAGTGATGTGTGTACGTTCCTACATAAATACTCAGCAATTTGCCAACAACAACTTATTTAAAAACAATTTTCTTACCATCCCTTTGATTAATTCTGTCATTATCATTGAAGATGTACCATCCATGCTATTTTTGAATTTCAACCGGAACAAAATAGATAGATTATTATTTTTGCATGGCTATTTTTTATACAAAAGTAATTCACTTTTGAACGAGACATCGAGCGAGAAATATTTCAACCAAAAAAAAGCTATGGAATATTTAATTACTTTTCAAATTACATACATGTACTTGCGACCCCACAATAATTCAGTTCTAGCTGGGAAATAACATTGGTTCCCAACCCATTCCGAATCAATAGCGAACCAGTCTTCTTGTAGGACTGAAGACAGTTTGTGCAAAAGCAGCCTCAAATAAACGAAACATTTCCAGAGGGCTCCAGGTGCCCAAAATGGGGGGAAAGTGCTTTTCGGTTAAATTAAAATATGCAAAATTAAAAAAAAATGTCAGGAAAAAATATAAAATTGTTGAACAGTAATTAAAGGTACATGTGTATCTTTATGTAGATGTACAATGTATGCAACTTGACCAGACCTGAGTCTTGGTGATGACTTTGGCTTATGTTCAGATGAGTAAGTTTATATATAAAACCAAAATCCACATAGTTTTGTTTTATCAATAATATTTTTTTTAAACCAAGAATTTATATACAATTGGTGTATCAGACGCCTTTTAACATTTAAGCCTATTTATTTCCAATACTATCATGTTGTTGCACCATGGCAAATCACTTCACATTAGGCAAATTCAGACAGTATGCACCATTAAAAATTTCTGTAAAAATGATAATAACATGGTCAATCATAAAAGAACATAATATTGGATCCATAAAAAATTAAAATGATGAGCAGCTTGAATCCATTTCAATGTGCTATAAAAATGTGAAAATACATTTACTATGCAAACTTGTACAAAGTGATGATATCATGTCATAAAACACTGCCAGTAAACATTAAATATACAAGTTTGAGTTTGATGCTTGAAATGAAACGAGTATGCATCCCCTCCCTACTTGTTCATATGATGACCCCCCCCAAAAAAAAAAAAATTGTGCACCCGAACTTGCATATGATAACTGAATAAATGTTGGTAAATTGTTGTTAATGAAAAGTTTATATCAATGAAGTTCTCACCGAAGTTCTGCACCCAATGTTTCAACTTCAAACTCACAAGTTTATTGTAAATGTTGTGTATGATGACTACAGCCTCTGCGATACATATACATTGTGAGGAAGGAATCCATATTTAATTTGGTTGACTTTTAGCAAAACCTCCACACACTGTTCAAACCTTTACATATTATTTGCCAACGAAGGGTGCACTGTACACGTACATTTAGGAAAGAGGCTTGAAAGTATGGTCTTGGCCTGTCAGCTTCTTAAAAACATCAAACAAAATAAATTGTAAACAAGTCACATTGTATATGGTTGACTCATAAATAGTTGCAGGTCGTGAGCAAATGTTTCAGATTACATGTAATCATGAGGGGTGTGATTAAGTGCTAAGACGCTACTAATAAATTAAATACTTTTACTGACATTCTTGCTTAAATATAAAACTGGAAGGGAGATTGCACGAATACAGGGTCCAATTTTAAACATTGGACAAAAAAAGTATGAGTGTATTTGAATATTGTTTATGTTTAAACGTTTAAATGTGGACATTTCACATCCTTTAGAGTTTGTTACTATAAAGCAAATAAAGCACAGCGTAACACACTGACATCACATCTATAAAAGACTCAACACTCTGATTAGTTGAAGTGTGAATACAAAGGAACTTCATAATAATATTAGGATATTTACACATCTACCGATGTGCACAGCTGAAGTTCCATCCAAATTATTCCGAATAAGATAAAACTTTGAACTCATCCAAGGCTTCTTTACATCTAAAACTAAAGTTGACATTTTTTCGGCAAAAATTCACTGGAAAGACAAGTGCATTGTAGTAAACCATTCAGACTGATGTTCCAGAATCGTGCCCAACAATAGTTGACATTGTAAGTTGACCCAAATTGGGTTTGGTCTATCTAAGAACGGCAAAGTTTACTTATTATATTTCCATTGACTAGATCCTAGTTTGATGTTTGCAACAGTCAATCTTTTGTGTGTTGTTGTTTCCAACGATGAACTTAATTTAAATATTGGGAATAATTTGTTTCAATATGATTCTGGAAAACCAGTCTGAAAAGAGTTGAATATGTTCTTTAGCAGAAAGCTAAGGCTAAACATATTTAGCTGCTTAAACCACCTCGGACTCTGGCAATTCAACCACTCCAACAAGCAAAGAATGAAAGACAACAAGTTTTGCTTACCCGCATCTGGCACAGACAAAGCAGAATTTATGGTAGGTGTCTCCTAGTGCGGTGACTACTTCCCCTTCCAGATATTCACCACAAGCTTTACACTTGGTACCAAACTGATCTTGGTAATCACTGGCACAGTAGAACTTGCCATCCTTAGTGAAGAATCCACCTTGAGACAGGGAACTTGTGCACACTGTGATACAAACAGGATTAGACAAGACCAATACTCTAACTAATTATTTCTTTAATATACAAAAATACAATTGTTTGACAAAACAGTATCTCATCAAGTAAAGCCCATGTCACACATTTACAGTTGCAGCCACGAATATCCATGGTTTACAAAGAATCAATCAATCACGATGAATCGTCGAGATTCGTGGAGAAATAGTCTTTCTAAGAATGCACTACGGTTTCAGGACAAATAGCCACGACTGTCCTTTGGTTTCTCTAAAAATACACTACGGTTTGTCCAGAATATAGACGGATTGGTAAAGAATATCTACGGTATTACTAAGAATAATGACGTTAACGCCACGGTTGTCTGCGATTGGGTCACGGATGACCAAGGTTCTCCTACGAATAAAGCGTGGATATTCGTAGTACAACCTTAGCAGAACCCTAGCACATCCAGGCATATCCATAGGATATTCGTAGCAAATTCGTACAGAATTCATCTACCACAAATGAGCTACGAATCTCCGAGAATATGTACGAATGGCCTCGAATAACACTACGAATAACACTACGAATTGTCCTACGGATGTCCCACGGTTGCACTATGGATTGATTTTCACGACGATTCACCACAGAAGTTTGGAATAGTTTCAAACTTCCGTAGCCCCTCCACGAATACCCAATGGAGATGACGGCTAACCACGGAGGTACTAAGGATGAATACGGTACTCCCACAGTTTATCACGACTTTCAAACCATGGATATCCGTAGCTCCAAACCTGGAGATGATCCTGAAGTCCACTTCTGGGTGAAAAACATCACAATCACATCTCATGAAAATAACTAAAACCAAATTCACAGAAATGAACTCTGAATCGAAACCTTTTGTGGGGGGGGGGGGGCATAAAAACAACCAATTACATTTGCCAGAAGGTTCCTTCCACATTAACAAAAGGATCTGTACATGTACTTGTGTGTATGCTTTTACCTGTATTTGGTGGAAGTTCATAATTATGTACCAAATGCCAGATTTTTTGGACTAGAAAATTATGTTTTGTGCCACATTTGAAAAATTGACAATGGCAAAAGCAAGCATTCTGTAAACTTTTATTGCCAGCTAAATTAGCAATTCTTTATTTATTAAAGCCCCATTAACATAATACGGAAGAGTAAAATGTGTTCTTTGGACCTCATTATACAAGCAGCAACAACGCTGCTTTTCAGCTTTTCAAGTGCAGTCTATACAAGTTAAAGTTCTGATAACTACATGTACAAGAGTTAACTACGGTACGTCCATTCAAGTACATACTAATAGGCATCTGTGGCATATCATTGTTAGGTAAACACCATACAGTTAGTACTGGTAGGAACAGAGCCAGTAGGTGATAAGTGCAACACTAATGCCCCGTTGGTCCCATGCATCAACCAACAACTGGAAGCAGAGCATGCACATGCAGTCAAACTAGTGGCAGGATTCTACACACAAACATTAGCAAGTGTATCAATAAAAACTCTGAATTTTCTTCAGAATGGTGAATAAAATAAACTTGCATTTATATCTACATCAAACCTAACATTCCCAGCTCCATCAAAATCCACCCCCCCCCCCCCCCCCCCCATTTTTGTGGATTTTGGGCGACTTGGTCCTACAGGCCTGGTGTGACTAAATATTGATTGAGTGTGATGGACTTGGGCCTGGAGGCCTGAAGCAAAGCATGCATTGGAAGCAGTGTGATTGATGGATTTTGGCAGACTTGGTCCAGTACTTAGTAAAAGACAGCAGGGTGTTAGGGTTAATTATTCCAGGCTTTGTATTCAGGAAAAAAAGTGCTTTTAAGACTCCGGCAGTGTTGTCAAACATTTTCCAAAATAAAAAAAAATGTTTACTTCTATTTTTAAATGGAATGCCTGATTTGATTCAATCTAACGTGATGGGGCAACACTCAATGCTTTGACTTTCCATATTTTATCAGGTTTTGGTCACACTGAAGATCAGTACAGATCGGCAACAACCCTGGAATGAACCAACAATAAGTGTAAAATGAATCTTAAAGTAGTATTACTGTCTAAATTGTGTACAAAATATAGGTAAATGCACTGTTTTCGTATTCAAATGAGAACTACAAGCAACTATATTACAAAATACATTCATATGTACACATGTAGCATGATACTTTGCTGTCGATGTTCAATCTTATCAAACTATTGGCCGTGTTCCAAACTCCCTCCAACATAGATCCGTCCTATAGGGGTTATCACTATCAACAAGGTAAATACTTTTGTAAGCAAGATATGATCCTTCATGGGGGTCATGGCTAAATACCAGAAATAACTAGTCATCAGCCAAATGATTGGTATTTGCTAAATATTTCAGCCAAACGAGTCAGATTTTTCTCAGGAAAATACCGTTTACTGCAAGCTCGCTACATACAATGTAAAAGAGTAGTTCATCTACAGGGCAAGTCAAAAAGAAAGTGACCGAATTAGAAAAAAATATTTTAAAATATGTGGCTTGATCAATTTAATTTAAAAAAACATCTAGGAATTAAAGTACCGGTACATGTACATGTCATTGACTAGTAACTGTGAAAATTGTACATAGTTGCATACTCTCACAAGTTATGTCTATTTATTGGAAATACCACAAAATTCCACTGTGCCTGTGTGTGTATTACTGTGTAATCTCTGGTTCTCACTCATTTGGCAATAGCTTTGATAAAAAGCACCCCATCGACAGCTGTAAAAATTGGTTCTTCCAGCAAAACACATGCATACTTCTGATAGCGTACATGTACATGCACATCAATTTCGATAATTCTTTTTTTCACATGAGTGGAAGAACATTCGTTTAATACATGTTTCATTGGTGTGTCAAATTTAATGACTTTTTAAGGGGGAAAATCATTAATCCAGGTCACTTTCTTTTGACTCACCAGTAGAGGTGCATGGTTCAATCCAAATGGTTTATATTTTAACCCTATCTCTCTAATTCTAGCTGGCATGTAACCTAAATCCTGCAAAATCCTCCAACTGCATCCATGTACAAATAGCCAACAGCCTCAACCCTGCAAAATCCTCCCTTTTTTTAAATAGTGTGACCACTGCCTTATTTATGCAAAATCTTTCAGCAATCACTGTCAATATGTGGAAACACAGTATCACCTCAGGAAAAAAGAACATGATGCTGTATTTAGTTCAAAAGATGAAGTTCAAACTATTTACAAATTTTAGAGAATTTCAGAGAATCATTGTCCAGAAAAAAAAGCAATGATTAATTTGTACTATTTCAAAACAGTGATCGGATTGTACCTGATCACTCATAACATAATGACTACACGCAAGACGTACAACGGTACATGTACATGTAGATGTTTGTACATGTACATGTACATGTAGATGTTTATATGTACCGGTAATACATACATTGTAGCCCATATTTCTAGGTGAAGAATACTTGAACAAACTACAATGTAAAGGTTTTTCATAATTTGTATTTTTCAGTGAGTCATTTATGCCAACTGCCAATCCCATGAAATATGTTTTCACACACCCCTATTATACATGTATGACTTGATATTAATTTCTAAGCTCAATTAATCCTGTCATATTTGCATTTGGCAAGATTCTACTATTCATATCTATACTATATGAAAATGTACCCCAATTTAATTGTTATAAGCCAATGTTATACAAATAATGAATGTTTATGAGTGCAATGGTGAGAATATTTTCTTGAGTTGGAAGATCGAATGTTCCATTCCAACAAGGCGAAGCCAAGTTGAATGAAACCTTCCGTCTTTCAACGAATTAAATATTCTTACAATTGTACGGATGCAAAACATTCATTAGGCCTATTTGTTTTATGTAACATCCAAGTACATCTTTGTCATGCCAGTGGATGATAAAACTATAAGAATAAACAACATTTACAAAATGGTTTCCCAGCATCCAATTTTTTCCCCAGCTTGTTCAAAGTTCAAGTTAGCAAAGGTTCAAAAGTCAAAACATTATCAATATGAAAGTTAATGCAATAAGTTCTTAAAACAATGCAAAACAGTCTGCAAGGCAAGTTCAGTTCGTAACTGCATCCACCTCAAAGGCAAGTTTTGTAATGCTGCATAAAACGCATAATGTGGTCTAGCTCAAAGATCGTATAAGCACCGCTGCACGTCTATGCGCGGCGTGCTATACGGTCTTTGGTCAAACGTGTGCGTGCAATACATGTAGATAAAAAGGGTTGAATGCCGCCTGACCTACAATCCTCAAATCAAATGACAAGGATATACCCGGTACTTGGGTGATATACATGTAAACTGTAATGTTCTAATCTGACTCTAACTTTATTATAATGAACTACTTTCTCCTCTCCCCAGATATTATTGCGCCACTGCACGGACACCTACATTTGTACCGGTACATAGTCCAATCAGAAGCATGAAGGCTCAAGCCAATATTCATGCCCTTAGTCAAGTCTGTACAGTTACCGAGGGATGGTACACCATGAAGCCTCTAACAAGCTTTTGTTTCAGTTCTTTAAACTTATAAAGCATTAGCATTTTGTGAAAAAAATGTTTTGAAAAGGCAGGTTTGGAATTTTGACAATACTAAATTTGTCTGGCAACCTCTGGGTCAGTGGGTTAGGGAGTCCAGCTTCATGTTTTGTATCACTGAAAAGAGAATTACACAACAAAACCAATGGCGTTTGAATCAGCTTCATAGGCGTTTGCATTTTGGAGATTTAAATGGCCGAATTTTAAATGGCCGAATTTGGAGTTACAATTCAGTAAGATTTAAATTATATACTTTTAGCATCTTTCTAATTTTCAAAACGTGTAAAAATGTTTGGTATCATAGGAATCCCCATTGAATAAACATAAAGATGATTTTTGAATTATGTTTTTACCACTCATAAAATAAAGTTACGATTTTTGTCCCTGGACCTTCGCACTGCCCAGGCGCGTGCAAAGTCTGGCAATGGCCGATCCTGCTCCACACAACACAGCAACACGGAACAAG